CGGACCCGCATGGCGGCCGCTACCCTCCCCTACCGCCTCGCCTTACCTCCGCCGCTGGGGATCCCTCTGAGGAAAACGGAATGCCTCGCCGCCTTTCAGTGGCCCAGGGTGCTGGAGCTGGAGGAGTGGGAGGAAACCAACAGTGAGGCTGCCGCTCCCTTTTGGGGGGTTCAGACCGCCGGCTATCCATCCACATCCCGGATATCCAAGTCTTCTCTTGTTCTTCTTTTTGTTCCTTACAGTCCTGGCCCTTGTTTCTTTTCCATTACTCAAAGTTGACTTCATTTCCGTGGCTTGCAACTATAAGGCACCCTGTCCTGGCTAATACGAACCAATATAGTCGGGCAACTAACCTTCTTTTTCCTTCAGCTCAATTGCTTCCATCTCGCTTCCATTGCACCAACTTTTGATTCTTCGTTTCTCTTCCGGTTCCGGTTCCGGTAACCCTACCCAAAACACGGCAGCCTCCCCCTTCTCTCTTCCAATCAACGTTGCCCCCAGCCCAGCCCAATTTCTTCTCTTGGGGCATTACTCAAAAATCATGCCCGCATATTGCCCTTTTTTTCCTCCAAGGGTCTGCCCCCCCGGCTGCTGCCCCTCCAGCCAAGCAAGCCCCCGAATAGAGTGCGGCTGGGTTTCTTGTCTAGAAGGGTCGAAGAAGTCGATCTATCGGATTTTTGTGTCGTCACCAGCTGCTGGGCGGGAAGAGATTCGGATCTGCACAGGCCACTTTTTATGTCTCTCTCGTCTCTGCGTGCCCGCCCATCAACGGCCCCCTCACTCCCTCTCCAATTCTCCTGCTAGTTGGTTAGTTGGGGGTCAGTTTATATTCCCAAATCGCATTTCGTAATGCCAGCATCCTTGTTGGAGGTGATCTGCTTGCTCACTTTTCACATGCATTTTTATGAATATCTTGATGGACCTATCCATCTTTTTCTCTGACGCAATTCGCTTGTAACGTAGAGTGTATTTGTCAAGTACAGATAGCATTTGTATTGTACTTACACGGCGCTCCGTTCTGGCCCTTGCAGCGTTTCACACCTCCGGAGTCGATCTCTAGACGGCCATTGGATGGTGTTCTATGTAGTGTTTCTTTGTTTCGAACCTGTGCAGCGGCATCTCTCCCCCGCAGCGTGTGAGCTCAATCGATACGCCCGGAACAGTCAAGGATCATCGGCACTTCGTGCCGTTGTTCCAGTGAAATAAGAAACTGCTCTGGTGCGCTGGTTGGATGCGTGTATGGCAGGTACATACATGTTGGTAGGTACATACGGGAGAGGGGCGTGTCATAAGGATGCGCGCCAGATTCAGCCCATTGTCTGATCTTATGTTAGGTTTGATCGTCAGGGTGTTTTTATACGTAATTTGGAATATCAAGTTTGAGAAGATCCAATCCATGCCTTTTGCCGTAGAATTTGCTCAAAAGAAGATACTCGTAGAATGAGTAGCATGGTTATACTTGCGGCGGCGGTGGTGGTGTAGATTGAATTTACAAATCTATCTAGATTTACGTTATCCTCTAGATCTCGCTGTTCAGCTGTAAATCATTCAAACGCGTATTCCTTCACAACGTCTACATCTATGGGTATTTCCATCTCAGATTCTATGCGTCATGATTCATGACATGCTTCGCTCATGATTCGTTACCTCCATTAGGCACCTGTTCCGGCTCTGTCTGGGGAGCCTTTGCTTTGGCTTCTGCCCTAACCTTGGCCTGCACCTCGGACGAAATCTCAGGGTTCTCGTCCTTGACGGCCTCTACGAGTTCCTCCATCCCACCTACGGTCGTCGGTCCGCTCATGCCCTTTGGCGGAAGAGCCCATTTGGGCAGCGGGCTTGTGTACGCCCAACTGCCGTCGGCATCCTCGTAGCGGAGACTGTGAAGCCAGAGGGACAGCTCGTGGCTGCCGGGGTCTGAGTAGAGCGGCGTTGCACATATATCGCACAGCTCGCCCGTCATCTTCTCTGCCCGCTGCTTCTCATATCTGTCCACCATTTCGTCGTAGTAGACGACGGCTTCGGCCACTTCTTCCTTTCCCATGCGATTGAGGCGGCTGATAACGTCCTCATCGGTGTTTTGCGAGCCGTCGGCGTCTGCCTGCCCAAGATTGAACCCCCATACACGCTGGTTGGCGTAGATTGGGTCGTTCTGGATTGGGTGGCCCAGGTACTGCAGGTGTACTCGCAGCTGGTGTGTCCTGCCTGTCACTGGCAGACATCTTACGATGGAGTACCCCTTTTTGTTGAGCCAGGGCTTACTCCTCTCATCATCAAGTATCTCCTTGTCCGCCGGTGTGAGTGGCTTTCCGTCTTCCGCTAAGACAGCCGGCTCCTCTGCATCCCCATCGCGCGGTGGGTAGTATGCAAGGCGCTTGAAGACCGTTCTGGCGGACTTACCATTGGCACGCACACGGTTAAGGCCTAGTTTCGGGGATATCTGGAGGATGGGCTGGTCACAAACGACTTCGCCGTCCGGGAAGTGGCCAACGACTCGCGCAAGATACTCCTTTCTGACGGTACGCCCCCTGATTTTCATGGCCATTGCTTCGGCGGACTTGACGCTCTTGGCTATGAACATGATGCCACTAGTGAGGCGATCCAATCGGTTGCACGGGTGTGGCAGGAAGTCTCTGCCCCTCTCCGCGACCATGATTTCGATGACCGAGTTGAAGTTGTATCGGCCGGCAGGGTGCACAGGCACGCCCGAGGGCTTGTTGATGACAATGATATCGTCATCCTCGTGGATGATTCCTATAGGCTCAGCCGTCACGGGGGGCTCGTGCCTGTGCAGCGTGTGCGAGATCATGTCGCCGTTGCGCACAATGTAGTCTGGACCAACGACTCGGCCGTTGACGTAGATGTCGCCCCTGACCATGGAGTTGCGGTAGTACTCGACCGGCCGATCTCGGAATTCGGACTCGAAGATGTCGATTAGCGAACGGCCGCGCCATCGCTCCTTGCAGTACGTGTTGTACGTAAAGTGGTAGGGCTTCACGCGGCGGAGGTCGTCTTCGAAGACGTAGGGCCGTGGCCAAATGTCGCCGGCGGGGGTGATGAGAACGCCATTGTCGTCGGCGAGGGCAGACCGAACCCTGGGATTCGGCTTCTTCTGCTTGTTCTTTTTGGGCTTGTTGCCGCTCTCCGTCCACGGCCTGCTTCCGACCGCTGTCGCATCCTGTTTCTTTTCGCCTGTCGCCGTTGTCTCGCTGAGGATTGCTGGAGCCACCGCCGCGGCTGGCTGCTCAGGCTGCGCTGAGTCTGCTGATACTGCTGCTGCTGCCGCTGCTGCTGCTGAGGCCGCTGCGGGTGCTGCGGCTCTGGTGGCGAGGGCGCCAGAATCGGTTGTCATGGCGAGGGCTCCGGTTCGTGCGAGCGTGCGTATGGTTCTCGCACAGGCTCGTAGGAGCATCAGCAGACAAACAGGCTGCGGATGGGCTCTTCGATTGGAGCGACAGATTCGCAATTCTAGACTCCGACCGCACACCCCCGTGGAAGCGATTGATGGCGCGGTGCGGACTTCTCCGTCCAGGCTCAGAGTTTTCAACGTCGTGTCGTCTGCGCGGTGACGTATCGCTGCAGTAGAACGAGAACGAGGGGCACGCAGAAAAGAAATTAGGCGGTCAGAGATGGCAGAACTGCTAACAGATCTTCGCTGACGGGGAATCGTGGCTCCGATCCGGGATGGCCGGTCGCCGGTACTGCTCGCCGGATTCTCCAGCTTACTGTGATTACTATATCGGGACCTACCCTGGACCGGCCTACAGAACCTCGGCTTTTGGCGTAGCCGACGACTGGCCGCTCCATTCCTGCGGCATCTCCCAACTGGCAGACGTTCAGACTTTGTAACTCGTCTGCAGTCTTGCCCAAAGCCTGTTCTTCCGTTTCCGCTTAACCACCATTTGTTCCGTCCTTACCTCGCTTATGCATCTCCTAGCCCGCTGCTAGAGACTGGAGACGCGTGCAACGATGAGCCACGCCACTCTCAAGACACGCCGCCGCCAGGATTACCCGTACCTGCTGGAGTACAGGACGAGATGGTGAGTTTTTGCTTCTTCCACGCCTCCTCCACTTTGGTCTCGATGGGTCTCCTTTCCCTTGGATTTGTGACTATCACAAAATGATGACTATATGTCCTTGAGACCAAGGAGATGGAAAGTTATTGGACGAGGAAGATCCCGTACGATATAAGAGGCAATGTTGATGATGTCTTTCCATTGCCACAGGAACGACAATGACATGTACGATCATATGAACAACTCGGTGTACAACTTCCTGTAAGACTTACTCGTGTGCATTCGTTTCCTATCCCATCTGGGCAACGTCGAAACATCGATGGGGGCGCTACAGCAGCTTTGCTTCTTATCCGTTCTGCACACTCCCTGTGACCTGACTCGAGACAAGAGCTACTCTCAACTAAACCACACCGTGGGGATCGTATAAGCTTTGCTAATTTTGTTGCTTCGTTTGATCTGCGGCACTCTAGATTCGACTCCGCGGTGAACAGTTATCTTGTCGAAAAGTGTGGCATCCACCCCCCTTCATCCCCTCAGTACGGCCTGGCAGTCCATTCCCATACAGACTTTCTGGCGTCCATTGCCTACCCAGCCGTGGCGGAGGTGGGAGTGCGTGTGACGAAGCTGGGCAAGTCCAGCGTCGCGTACGAAGTGGCCCTGTTTGAGAGGGGAAGTGATCAAGTCAAAGCTGTGGGAGGATTCGTGCATGTGTTTGTTGAGAGATCCACCGGCAGGCCCCCCAAGGATGGGATGAATGCCCAGTTGAGAGAGGCACTAGACAGGATCAACCTGGGGCCTGTTGTTCCTACCAAGGAGACTAGCAAGCTATGAGCTGTCACATAGTTGTCTTCTGTTCACGGTAACTGCTCACAACACCCTTTGTTGATCCACCTCCATAGAGATAGAAATTAGGTGTTGCTTTGTATATATGGGTTCGCAATTATATAGGTACATATCGATATTAGCGTCATTGCCTATTTTCTTACATTACAGCAACTCATACTTTTGTGTCGATCCATTCTCATCTCCGCTCGTAAACATCTTCTCCATGAATTCCAAATCGGCAAGGGCCTGCTGCGGCGTCTGCAGAGGGTTGACCTTGCCGTCGATGATGCTCTGTGCCCATGCGGCGACCTCCTCAGTGACGCCGTTTGTCCTGGAGAATTCCTTGACAGACTCTTCTCCATCGAGCGGCTTCACTGTGACAGTCTCTCCAACAATCTTGACGGATCCCTTCTCATAGGAGAAGCTCCACTCGAAAGCCTGGAGCAGAGATCCGGCTGAGTGCTGAAACGAGCCCGATCCCCCTGTCTGGGTTTTGACAATGGCATTCAGAGTGTCAATCGGTGGCAAATGTTCGCACATTTGCGCTGTAAACGCCTGCACAGACTCTGGTTTGTTCCCTTCGCCAGCGAGCAACAGCCTCGTGGCCGCAGCCCAGTGGACACCGGCATCAAGCAAGAATCCTCCCTGATAATCAGGGGTTTTCCGCCACGCAGTGTTGTACCACTTGTTGTCCGGCTCAACACGCCACAGGACACGAACGCTAAAGTTGTGGACTTTGCCAAACTTTGCAGCCTCGCTGGCGGCATAGGAAAAGCTTGGGTAGAAGCGCACGTTTTCCGCAATGGCAAAGGTAGCGTTGCTGGTGGCGCAGATACGCTGAGCATTGGAGATGAGCGTGCGAGCAGATGCAACATCCTTGGCGATGGGTTTTTCAGCGAGGACGTGCTTGCCAGCGGCGAGGGCTGCCTCTATGAATGAAGGCTGAGTGAGGATGGGGAGAGCGATGATGACGGCTGAGATGTCGTCTCGCTTAAGGAGGTCTTGGTAAGATTTGTTAGAACCGGCATCCTCAGCGTAGAGATCCGGCTTCTTGACGGATTCGGGAACGAGGTCTGCTGTTTCTTGAGCGGACTTTAGAGACCTTGAGTAGATGGCCTCGAGGCTGAAAAGCTCGCACTTGAGAACGGCAGGCTGTGAAGCAATGGTTAGCTCATTTTTCAAGATGACGTCGTTGATAAAGGGGTTGATGATGATGAAGAGGGTCGAAGAATACCAGATGAGATTCCTTGACAAACAGTCCTCCTCCGACGATGGCAACTCCCATGGTAGGCTTCATGATGGCAGTTATTCGAATGGTACAGCCTGATGAAACAGATATTTTTTGAGTATGGCTGACTCGTAAACAGAAATGAATCTGAAGAATCGTATGTCAATGCAAGAAAGCTGAAATGCCGCCCCTCTCGGTGGGGGAGGGGTTCCGCCGCCCCGCCTCCATGGACGGGCTTTTGTTATAATGACAGCATCAAGTATAAAGGCATGGGTGAATGGCAGCCTTGTATGAAGCTTTCAACGTTGAGACGAAGGTTATCATCTGGCATTGAAGGAATATCTTTCTCCTGTTCATCATGAAAAATTGGCCTACCGTAGATTCGCACCCGAGGCACAGAGGTACACTTAAATGAGATGGCAGCACAGCAGACATTGTGGCAGTAACAACTATATTTTGAGTCATCATTCGTTAATATTCAATGTTTAATACAAGTTCCTAAAAAAATAAAAGACCGTAGAGAAAGACAACCCAAGCATTGGCCATTCAGCGTAAACCACCCGATTGCTCGATCAGCTAAACACTCTTAGACAACCAGCCTTCATCTTACCTGACACCGCGTCCATTTGTATCCAGATACACGCTCTTTTTCATGTTCTTTTTCGCTCGCTTCAAGAATTTTCCGCACAAATCAAAATAGAAACACATCTTCATAGCTGTTCAGCCTCACAGCTCCTCATAGCGGTACAGCTGCTCGACCCAAAAAGTCTTTGCGTCTCCACGAGAACTTCGCTCCCACCGCGTCTCAGCCTCAGTTTCGGTCTCGGCCTCAGTATCCGTCTCTTCCTTTATTGAAGACACACGCCCCTCTGAGAGAGCTGTGATGTATTGGATAGTCTTTTTTGAGAGCGGCTGAGCTCTCCGACGGGAAATTCGGTTTCGCCGAAAGGGCTGCTCAGCTTGAAGTCTCAGCCGGCGTGTAGCGCTCGGTGATGCAGCGGCGACTTCTTGTCTAGGCGCCATGGTTGCGATGCGCTTGAGGTGTCTTTCGGCGATAATGAAGAGACTCGCTGCGGAGTGGCAAAAGCAACGTTAATCAGCTTGGAACGAATGCTTGAAGCTATTTATGCTGTTGGTCGTGAGCGACGTCTCGCAATCCGGAGCTGAAGCTGCGCTGACATTCGCCTTCTTATTGCGCGCAACGTAGTTCTTCTTCCGCTGATATCACCAACAGTGATGGAATTTGATGCAATTGATGTTCAATTGATTTCGGGAGATGGGAAGAGTAGAATCCAATGCAGACGATAGGCAGACAGCAGGGCTGCATGGCATGCAGCGCTCTAATGCACATTTCGACCCAATGGGGGCCCAACCCACCAACACGCATGCATGCTTATTTACACGTATTCTTGATCCTTCTTTCGCACACTGCTCTGAAGAAAGATACCAATCTTTATCATATGTGTACACATGTGCTTTTTGTACTGTGTCGTTGAAAAAAGGCTCACAAATATTGTATTGTATCTGCCATCTCGGCTTGATGAGGCTTTGTATGCTTTTGCAATGTTACGAGAGGGAAAAGGTACATGTATGCAGCTTTCATTCAGCTGCCAGCCTGGGAATGCAGTACATCCGACGACTTTCACTCATAATTAGTTGGGGATTTATCAAGGCATATATTAAGGACCTTTTACAACATGGCACAACATGAGACTATTTGCGACTTCTAATTCAATGCAACGTTAACGCTGGATGATGATTACTTAGCTGCAGTGTTACAACATTCTGCATAAAGTCTCATATTTTTAAATTGATTTCTAGCTACAGTGGTTCCTGTTTATATATAACATGCAATTCCTTGTGAGATTATATGTGCTGTTTTGAGTGGCCAATGAAATTCAGTCTTCTCTCGTACTAAGAGAGCAGTCATTGCAAAGGTGAGAGAAGATCGGAACTCCCTTGACCTCTTTTCAACACTATTGTTGTTTTGCTCATGTTTCGATGCACCAAGTTTATTTGCTGCGTAACAGCAAAGTTTGGCTTGTATTCCAAATGCACTTCTATCTAAACTACGCGAATTTACTGCCATCAAGCAAATAAAACAAGCGTCTGCAGATGCACCACGAACGGATACACACACCTACCTACCTTCACCCAAACACGGCGTCCATCATATCCGTTCAGAAACTGGTCACGCTGTAGTAGAAGCTCGCATATTAGTACTTGGTACATAATTGCATTCTTCTATCCATATTAAACAGCCAAGTCTACATGAGAACAGGTGGAGGAAATCCGATAGGATAATCCCGTTATGGAAACGTATATGGCTAAGCCATCATGGGAGTCTAGGTAGTTGATCAAGTCAATTATAGAAACAAAAAAAACTTATATATATATTTACTCGTAATCAATTTTTTTATAGGAGGGTATACTCGTATCTGGCTTCAAATACTGGGGAGATGTACGGCGTGTCTTGATAAATTCCGTCTTAGTGGTAGTATCTGCATTCATGTATTTGCAAATTGGAACATTCATAGAAAGTGATGAGTTGAACTCAAGATGAGAACTGAGCTAAAATTTGGCATGCGTCTATGTTACTCTCCATTAGTCTATATCATTTATAGATATTTCAACGAGCATAGTTTCACTGCTCTGATGATGCATATCCATCTGTCTTGCGTTCCAGGTTATGCATCCAGATAGGCACAGTAGAAATTGAAAGAAGAGGCTAACCAGCAGTCACATATACAGTTATATCTTAGTACCAAGGTAATATTGCCGTGAAGCACCTCATAACGCGAATACAAAGCATAGGAATCAGATCAGCTAGCATCAATAATGGGCTCTCTATTGTTTCTAGTATATGTGTAGGGTTGCTGTAAGCTGAGCACTTGATGCATGTATACAGCATGCAGAGTCTATCTACAAGAAGTATTGTGGGTTCTCGACAAGTCCTATCACACAGATGATAAGAACGATGACTCATCATCAGGATCTCCCTCGAATAGCTATTATTCATGAAAATTGGCAACTAATTGGCTTACATGGCCAAGCTTCCATGTCATTGAGTGAACATAGCTTGGGAACGGTTATGGATCCTGCGACAACCCGACTACCCCGCCATTGAGTCCCTCCAGCTCCCTGCGGCTGGCCCCTGTAAATCGGCACTTTTAGTGCTATCGGTAGCGGCATAGCGGCTTCCTTTCAGTGAATGTAAGCTCTAGAAGCTCCATCCAGGATCTCACATGTTTTCAATGACAGCATCAGCTGTCTTCCATCCCTCGACACCTTTCCTTTCAGCCAATTCTGGCCGCAAAGATGCCTCCGGCCCATACAATCACATCAGTCAAGCAGACATTTGTCGCTGCGCAGACGAACATCCTGTCCCAGCCAGTTGCGCCGTCCCGAGCCTGGCGCGCCTCCAACGACGCGTCTGAACATGCGCTCCCGAATCGCATCGTCGAAGATGCCGTCGCAAGCCTCAACCGCACGATCCAGCAGCACTCTCGTCGAGTCTATGCGCCTCAGGCAAACAGACATGTGGCCGAGCAGATTAGCCATGTCTACTCGAGGGATGCCGAGCGCAGGATGGAGAATCCAGACGATGCTGAGGGTGGAATTGGAAGAGAACTTGATCTAGGTATGGCTTACGCTTTGAAGGTGCTGGAGGTGATTGAGCGAGCTATAGCTGACGGCTGTGACAATAGTGGACGAACAAGCCATAGAGACACTGCCTGCTACCTGGCCATCCGACAGAGACACCGAAGCCTATCCTCTAGAAGCTACCCGCTATGCCGACACAGTTCGCCAGTTACTTGATCTTAACCAACAACGCAAAGATCTACGTCAGAGAGTTGAACGACTCCGAAGTCTCCAAAAGACAGTCAAATCCTTCCAGACCACAGACGGTGCGGGCGTCCAAGAGAATCTCGTGACTCGCGATGGTCCCGTGGAGAAGGAGCTCGAGAAGATGCGCTTCCTCCTTGCGCGCGTTGCCGGCCGGGTGGGCGAGCTGTCGAATGCGCCTGCAACTCGGAATGTCGATGTCGTGGAGTTGAACGCTTTGGCTGAAGCGAGGAAGAAGAATATTGAGAAATTTCTGGCGGATGGTCGTGTTTTCCCATCTTGAGGATGGAGGCATAACACTGGTTTATGCAGAGCTGAACTCGGCCAAAACAAATATCACGCTGATACGACAACTACAGGAAAGATTCCTCCACAAGCAACGATGTTACAAGCTCTTACGCTGTCCTGGCGACGATTATGCCCTCGCGGGTGGATAGCTTCGAGCTTCAGATGGTTCAAATGTGATCAGATTTGAAGCAGGTGGAATTGCTTACCGCGCCTGTTCCATTTTCAGCTACATGGGAATATTTTATGCAAAAGCTGGGACAGAGACTCGTGGAAAAGAGACTCCAAGACGAGCACTGGGAGACTGGTAAGCATGACCAAAAGCCGTTCAGCTTCACGCTATTCATAAAACTGACATCCCAAAATAGGCCCCAACTCTGACTGCCAAGGATCTAAACCATCGTCTCAAAGAATACGAGCTGCCTTGAGAGCGGATAGCCATGTCCTGCAACCCTATTATGTGGTTCATGCATCATGATGAGCGTGGCCCTGGCTAGTCGTTTGCAATCTCGAATTGATTGCCCAAAACGGCAAGTTGGTCAAAATAAGATTTGACATGAGAGGTGATGTTGGGTGGGGCAAGTTTTGGCGAGCTGCCCTCGAGCTTCTCGTTTGGTCAAAATACTATACTGGATTTTTAGAGGACAATTGCCGTCAAAGTAGCTGGTGGCTTGTTCAAACAGTCTGCATATCTCTTCAAATGGAGAGAATGATGGAGGGGATGTTGAGAGACAAAGCTAGGCGTATAGATTGAAGAACAAGCTTCCAAAAACGCGCCAGTTTCAAGATGAATATACAGAACAGATAAAAGGGCAACTGTTATCAATGCAAAATTCATCAGACGATTCGTCAAATTTGGTATCAACAACGTTTGCACTCATCACATGTAAGTGCTACTCATCTATGTGCTGGGACTTACGTGCTTGGTGATGGCAATGGTGGATTGCCATGGCCGCAATTCCAATTCATGGCTTGCTAAAAAAAAAAGATGTCAAAGTAAGAATGTTAATAAGATCAAAGCTACACTAACTACATTGTTACGCAACCATCTTGATTCACTGACAGCTTGGCAGTTTTCACCTCGCAACTCGCATTCGCTTAATAGAGAGCGGGTCATGCAAGCCAAGATTAGCTGTGGCGGCCGTGCAGATTTGGCTTTCCCATGGCCTGTTATGTGCTTATCCCACCACCTGGAGTTGGTTTCATCCTCTGTGATTGGATGCTAGAGCAACCACAGGCTAAATCAATAGCGCCAGGAGAAACGCGAGGCTGTTTTGAGATCATGAGACGAGATATGTTGTGCGGTTTGCTTTTGGAAAGAAGTAGGCATGTCAACATGTAGCCAAGCATGGCTTGCGAGGTGGGCCGCGTAGTTCGTCTCTAATAGCTTGTGAGTGAAGCGTCTCTGGTGACGGGTATATAACGAGAGAAAGCACGCCCTTATAGGCTGATAATGTTTGTATCATTCGTTACTTGGCTATTAAAGTCGACTCCTCAAGCACAATAGTTCTGGCTATGTACAGTCGTGCTAGCCGGACTTTATGCTGTCGTCTATCTCTTATACGCCCGACGTGTTCTAAAAAGACACCGCATTATTTGTTCAAAACATTGCCGATTCAGAAGTATTCGTCCAATATGGCTTTGAACAGAGAGGGAATCTTTTCTCGCACGGCAGAAGACCAGGAGAATGATATCAAGTCCAGGCTAAGCAACTTTGAAGATCAAGCATGGAAACAGTGGCCGGCAAAGGCTCAGGTAAATATTGAATATATTCATCAGAGGAACCACCTAGCAAATACTAATAACATCGCAGTTTGAAGGACTTGAAGAGCATCGTGGCCCAATTCAATTGACAGTCAAAGGTTCCATCCCCGCCTGGGCTGCTGGCTCTTTATTCAGAACCGGGCCTGGCTTGGATAGAGTAGAAGACACCTCCAGAGGGACTCACATGATCTCACACTGGTTCGATGGTATCGCCCACAGCCACAGATTCGACATCATTCCGCCTGAAACAGCTGAGGATAGCACTTCAGTTCTGTACACCTCTCGTCGTCATGCAGATGCCCTCGTTGCCGAGATCAAAGAAAAGGGCTGGCAGACGAGCATCTCATTTGCTCAACGCGCTGATCCTTGCGTGGGCATATTCGGCAAGGTCATGACTGTCTTCGCCAGTGGCAAGTCCAACAATAACGTTGCGGTCGTCCCGGACATGCCTGGCGGTGACACTGTGAAAGGAGGAGATTCGTCCAAAGACAAGGCCTTATACGTCCTTACCGACAGTGCTGGTCTTAGCAAACTTGACCCCAAGACTCTTGAGCCTATTGGAGAAGCCAGACAGCAGTCGCTTCATCCGAGTTTGAAGGGGCCAATTTCCTGCGCACATTCACAGCGTGACCCCGACACTGGAGATTTGTTTAATTACAACTTGGATCTGGGCGGTCGGTTTCCGACGTACCGCGTCTTTCGCGTCAATGCCAAAGATGGGAGTGTCGATATTCTTGCCACACTCTCAGGCAAGGACTATCCAGCAGCTTATATGCACAGCTTCTTTGTCACGGAAAACTACGTAGTCCTTTGCGTCCAATCAACGCATTACGCATGGTCTGGCATGAAGATCCTCTGGGAGAGAAACATTCTCGACGCCATGAAGCCCTTTGACAAGACTGTTCCGTGTAAGTGGGCAGTAATTGATCGAAGGCAGGGAACGGGCGTGGTGGCTGAGTTTTCTACTCCGGCTGGCTTCTTCTTCCACTCGGTGAATGCCTTTGAGGAGCAGGTCAAGGATGAAGATGGGAATAGCCATACGGAAGTCTGCATGGATGCCATCTCGTATAACAACGCGGATATCATGCAAGTGTTTTACTATGACGTCCTCCTGGACCGAAACGATGCGACGAAGAAGGCCATGCTCGACAACCAGCTTTATAAGTCGATGCAGCAGCGCCTCTCACGATATCGATTCAGAATCCCTTCACAAAGGCAATCCAAGGAGGAAAAGGCATCTGCCGTAGCTGAAGAAGTCCTGACAATCCCAGGCCCTCACATCGGCGAGCTGCCCACCATCCACCCAGCCCACAACGGCAAGCCATATCGCTTCGTCTACACCACCAACAACAGAGGCCTCTACATCTTCGCCGACTCTCTCGCCAAAACAGACGTCACCACAAAGAACGTCTTGATCTGGAGCGGACCGAGGGGCCACTCGCCAGGAGAGCCCATTTTCGTGCCTCGCCCGGGAGGCACGGAGGAGGACGACGGGGTGCTGCTGTCGGTGGTGGTGGATGGGGCGCTGGAGAGGTCGTATTTGCTGTGTTTGGATGCGAGGACGATGGAGGAGCTGGGCAGGGCAGAGGCAGATTTTGCGATTCCGATGGGGTTGCATGGGGCGCATCAGGCGAGGGGGCGTCTTTGAAAAGACAGTATTTCAATTAATTATGTTTTCTTTCTTTATTCTAAATGATATACCTCGTGTATTGCCTATAACAGTTGGTGAAAACTGCGATTCATGTTGAATTCTTTCTTCACGTGTAAGTTGTCTGGTAAATCATCACGATGCATCACCATTGCTACATGAACACCATCACCACAACAACTCCGCTCTAAAAATTACAATTTACGAGTTATACCTTTTACATTCTAGCACTCACTTAAATTTTCAAGAACAGCGAACATGAAAGCATAATTCGTTTCGGCATGATGCGGCATCAGACGCCGCAAGTTGATGCCACTCCCCAATAACCCGTAAACTGTCTGGACTCTGGAGATATTCGGAGTGTTCCCGGCATCGGGGTCGGACATCTCGGGGAACTTGCTGCGAGATTTTTGCTAGATTCTGCTTCTCTCCCCGCCGGCATTTTGCGCGTGGCGCGGCACGGTGAATTGGGGGGCTGGAAGGAGCAGTAGCGCATTATCAAGTGCTCTGGGGTGCATGCAGGCAGATGAGATGAAGAATTTGGGGAGAAGGAGGCAACTCAGATGAAGAAGCTGTGACTACGAATAAGATGATGAGGGAGATGAGAGCAATAAAGGTTATCAAATGTTTTTGAAGAGTTGTATTTTTGTTTTCTGCTTATTTTACAGCTTTTCTCCCTCGCGGCCGTAGTGCTCCTCAGCGGCTGATTTCAAAGCCGGAGCGAGTGTGTCCTCGGCCTTTTTCAAGCGGTGGACACGATCCAGTCTTCATCTCCGATACCGTACAAACAAGGAAATTAGAAACAAAGTAAAGCGTAAGCTGGAACTGCATCTTTATATCGAGAGAGTTTCAATCCGCGATTTTTTCTCTTTTTCTTTCTCTTGGTCTTTTGACCCCCACGCCCAGTTTCAGTGATTGTCTCGCTTCCCCAATCCCATCCCGAACCATTGCTGGCATAAAAAAAAAAAAAAGAGAATATGCCCAAACGTAGACATAAAAGATATTCATTGCGATTCACTTTTCCCCATCGTCACTCTTCGCCGGCGGCGAAGGTGCACTCTAGGCCGCAACAGCCTCGGCAGTGGGCATTTTCATGCTGGTGCCGCTCAGGTCGGTGGGTTTCCGTGAGGGGTTCTTGGTGTAGTAGTCGGAAATCGCCGACTTGATGGCATCCTCAGCAAGCATGGAGCAGTGCACTGTAAGCAAAAATTAGCATTGGCTGGATGACTATATGTGATGTATATCATATATGGGGCTAGAGGTGAAGATCAGAGTATTATGTCATGGCTGGTATCGCATTATTAATACTTACGCTTAACGGGGGGCAGACACAGCTCCTTGGCAATCTCAGTGTTCTTGACCTTGCCAGCGTCGTCCAGGCTCATGCCGCGGACAAGCTCGGTCAGGTAGCTGCTGGAAGCAATGGCTGAGCCGCAGCCAAAAGTCTTGAACTTGACCTCGGAAATCTTCTGTGTCTCGGGGTCGACGCGGATCTGCAGCTTCATGACATCGCCGCAAGCAGGAGCGCCCACGAGGCCGGTGCCGACGTCAGAATCGCCCTTGTTCATGGAGCCGACGTTGCGCGGTCGCGCATAGTGGTCCAGGACCTTTTCGTGATATGACCGCTGGGCCTCGATGGATGCGATGGGAGCGAGCTGGCGGGGGGCGAGAGTTGGTCTGGCGAGGGGAGCGGCCATGGCGGCTCGCCTTGAGACGACGCGGAGTCCTCTGGAGAACATTTTGATAGGTTTGAAGCTGTGGAACGAGGAGAATATAGGTATATATGTAGGGGGTCCGCAGGTGTGTCTTGGTGCGGAGAAGATGAAAAAAGCGAGAGAGATATCGAGAGCCTGCTCGGATGCGATAACTCGGTGTTGAGGCAGAGATGATTGAGCTTTGTGTGCTTGAGGCGAATTGATGGAATCGACGTCAAGCAGATTGAAGTCGAGGTGAGGTTTTGTGAGGTTTAGGTTGAGGAGGCAAGATTCGAGTTTGGAGTGACGAAAATATGCCAGAGGCGAAAGCAAGCGCCGCTTAAAGCAGCAGCGCAAAAAGCAGGGATGGCGATTTCGGCCCAGTGCAGCGCATCTCATCAGCGATGGCCGGGCGGGCCAATCAGCGCGCGCGCCCCTCTCGGCCATTACGTCTGTGCAGCGCGGTGGAGCTCGGACCTTGTCGGAGCCTGGGGCCAATCGGCGCTTGAGACTGGCCTTAGTCAGCTATCTGATTGGTTTGCCGTACGTAAAGAGGTCGTCAACGCTCCGCAAAGCGATTGGAAATCAATCTGATAAGATGCACGTGAGACGGGAAATTGTCACGTGGCCTGGCGACAGAGGACGCGAAATTGGGGCAGCCGCTCGGAGTTCGACACGTCGCCGAGGAGCTGGTGAGTCGCTGCTTTTTTGGTGGCGACGCGGTCCAACATTTGCGCCGGTGCTGCCATGGTTTTATATGATCGGTGAAACAAATGCAATGAAGCTCAGTGGGCTTCTTCTCATAGTACAGAAAGGATGAGCTCTTGTGGTTTAGATTTGGATCAAACAGACTGAGATAGGTATGCATATGCGTCTATCTCTTAGGATAAGACATCAGTCCATCTTGTCATGTCCGGGGAATGTTATCCAGCACCTTAACATGACTTTTACTATGCAATTCTCAAGCTATAGCATGGGCTCCTGTTACAGATATTACCGATACTATTGCTACTGATGCTACTACTGTTATTGATGATACTTCTGCTACTATAGCTACTGCTGCTACTACCTCTACTACCGCTATTGCCACTATTAATGCTACAACTGCTACGGATGCTACTACTTCCATTTTAATGTATTCGGAACATGTAGCAATTCAGCGCATCCAAGCCACTGTTCTACCACTGTTAGAGCCTTTTGCCAGCCATGCAGCGCTAGTCCTATCTAAGCTGCCCCTCCAGATCCCAAAACTCCGTCATCGAGGGGCAGCCTAACAGCTTCCAGGCCTAAAGCTGCTGCAACCCACTAACCGCTAATCGATAGCGCTCGCCCAGCGCATCGGTAGGTGCAGGTGCCTTTCGCCTTGTCACAGCAACCGCCAAAAGCTGCATCAACACCACACGTGCGCTTCGTCATTTCTTCGCCTCAGGAACGAGCCTTTGCCCCTGTACATCGTGCCGCTGTTTTACTTTTTTGCATCTATTGTCCCTTTCCGCCATCAGCGATATGTCGTGCCCGCATCTCGATTCTGTCGGTACGTCAATGCCTTACCCCGCCAACTCTCAGCTTTCAGCTTGTTTCCAAGCCCTGTCAAACTCGTGAGAGCTCACCTTTATTCATTGTAGAGCTCAAGCCGCCGACTCCTGTTCAGTCTGTATATAAAGAAGATTGCACACAATGCTTTGACTCGATTGTATGTGGCTTCAAACTGGCAGATCCTCCCTCTTCAAACGACAACGTTGACGAAACTCACAATTTCTTTCCCTCGATAGGACAACCCCGGAGGCCTCGATGTCTGCCTCCAGTGCTTCAACGGTGGCTGCACTGCCGAACGACAACACTCTTTGCTTCACAACGCCGTCTGGAGCCACCCGCTTGCCCTCAACATCCGCCGCACCCGAAAGACGATCGACCGCGATGAGCCTCCCGCTAAGATCACGAAGCTCGCCATCGCCGCCGAGACAGAAGAAGACCGATACAACACGGTACTGGGTGTCAAATGCATCGAATGCCAACAAGAACTCGACATCGCAAATCCTAAAATCGCACCCATCGTGGACGGCATCCTAAAAGCACACACCTTTTCTCGAAAAGAAGAAGTAAAAGCGTGGGAGCAGGAGCTCACGTCATGCGAGCACATCTTGACCATGCAGCAGCACCCGTCCCGCAAGATCGAGCAAGGCGACCTTGGCCACTGCTCAGGCTGTGACCTGAGAGAAAACCTTTGGCTTTGCCTGGAATGTGGCAATCTGGGCTGTGGCCGAAAGCAGATGGGTGGCGTCGACGGCAATTCCCACGCTCTGGGCCACGCTAATGAATCTGGACATGGCGTAGCTGTCAAGCTTGGATCTATCACACCGGAAGGCACCGCCGATATTTACTGTTATAGATGCGATGAGGAGCGTATCGACGACCAGCTGGGCGAGCATCTGGCCCACTGGGGAATTATTCTCGCCGAGCGACAAAAGACCGAGAAGAGCTTGACGGAGATGCAGATTGAGCAAAATCTCAAATGGGACTTTAGCATGACGACCGAAGATGGCCATGAGCTGAAGCCTGTTTTTGGATCTGGCCTCACTGGGCTGAAGAATCTCGGCAACAGCTGCTACCTAGCTAGCATCATTCAGTGCTTATTTGATATGCCCTCTTTCCAGGAGCGCTACTATGGCCCCAACAGAGATCTTCCGATCGTCCAGGAGCCCGCAGCCGACCTTGAGACTCAACTGAGAAAGATTGCCGATGGTTTGTTATCTGGACGATATTCAGAGCCTGATAATTCTGTGACATCGGGAGAAGTTGCCTATCAGAGAGGATTGGCGCCATCAATGTTCAAGCATTTGATAGGAAGAGGGCACGAAGAGTTCTCTACGATGAGGCAGCAAGATGCATTTGAGCTCTTCCAGCATCTCTTCAAGCTCATCAGCCGATCACCGCACAATGGCCAAAAGGACCCTACCGCCGAATTTCGATTTGTCTTAGAGCAGCGACTCCAGTGTCTTGGATGCCACAAAGTCAGGTACAGCTCCAACGAACAGGACAACATCTTCCTCGACGTACCATTGGTGAAGCTTGATGCCGGAAGTGAAGGTGCTGAGACAGCCAATGCCTACAAGTCCGTCACTCTGAAGGAATGCTTAGACAACTTTACCGCGCCTGAAAAGGTCGAATTGACTTGCTCATCATGCGGCAGTAAAGCAGGCTTCACCAAACAGTCCCTCTTCAAGACTTTCCCCAACGTTTTGGCTGTCAATGCACGAAAGATGGCTGTTGTGAACTGGGTTCCCATCAAGCTTGATGTCCCCGTCATTGTTCCAGACGAGCCGTTCTTGTTGGACAGCTACCTCTCCAAGGGACTTCAGCCTTCTGAAGAACTCCTACCAGAGGAGCTCGAAAACCAAGCCCCGGCGTTTGTACCAGACGCGGCTGCGGTTGCACAGCTTGAGGCCATGGGCTTCCCGCGAAATCGCGCCGAGAAAGCGCTGCATGCGACAGGTAACTCCGATGCCAATGCCGCCATGGAGTGGTTGTTTGCACATCTCGATGATGCCGACATTGATGCGCCTCTTGACCTGGGCGCTGGATCGAGAGGCGCAGGCACAGCTGACCCTGAAAAGATTGAGATGTTGGGAGCTATGGGCTTTGGTGCTCCCCAGGCTAAGAAGGCGCTGAAAGAAACGGGCGGCGATGTCGAGCGAGCTGTTGAATGGCTGTTTAGCCACCCCGATGATCAAGGCATCATGGAAGACGAGGGCTCAGGCGATGCGGCTGATGCGACTCAAAAAGAGGCAGCTGGAAGTGCAGCACTCCCAGCACAGTTCCAACTGCAGTCCATTGTGTGCCACAAGGGCACGAGTATCCACGCCGGGTGAGTTTTTCCCTCCCTATCCTACTTCCAACACGTACATAGAGTACAATAGCTAACTGATTCATTAGCCACTACGTCGCTTTTATTCGAAAGTCGGTAGAAGGCAAAGATACGCCTACATGGGTGCTTTTCAACGACGAAAAGGTCGTGGAGGCTCACGACGTTGAAGAAATGCGCAAGTTTGCGTACGTGTACTTTTTCAAGAGAGCGTAAGAAGAGATTGAAACTCTTCTCTGGAGTAGATGGTGCATGGGAGAGGCGGCGTTTAGTGCGCTACCAGGACATGGTAGTGCTTGTTGATTGTGTGTTCGGAGGGCTCATGAATGAGGAGGGAAATGTAACCCAATAGATGAAATATCACACAGAAAGTCGGATACCAATAAGAGAAATATTCATCAACATTTTACCAGCAGCTTCAGTCACACTAAATGTGTCGATAGATACGTGAAGCTTTATGATGCACCGATATATCCCATTCCCGTCCAACGCCATAAGAAGCCCAACGTCATGCCTAGCGGGCGACCCAACTGACATGCAAGGCCTCATCTTCGTAATGTTACAGATCCAATTACCTTTTAACCCTTCCCCTTTCTATCCAGTTATACTCCATCGCAATTAAATCCCATTACTCTCCCAATCTGTAGCTGACAATCGTATCGACGCGATGATTTGCCGTGCTGAAGCCCCTCAACTGCACCCTCTCGCCGTTTTGAATCTCCTTGGCGTCGGAGTCTCCCCACTCGACGGGGACGTCGCTGTCGGCGTCGGCGTAGACTAGGACGTTGAATGTGCAGTCGCCGTTGAGCTGGGGGAGGAAAGTGACGGAGGCGGTGATTTGGCGGAAGATGGCGGCGATTTCGGCCTGGATTTCGGATTCGGGCTTTTCTTTGTCGGCGAAGAGGGTGGTGTTGGCGGAGGAGTTTTCTTGTTGCTGTTGTTCGTCGATTGGGGCGGAGGGGTCTGTTGTGGATGGTTTGAGTTTTGATTTGGTTGGAGCTGAGATTTGGACCTGTTGTCGTGTTACTTTGTTAGATATGTATAGATGTGCAGGATGATGGAGAACTCGTATGTGGAAGGAATTTGCAAAGAGGGAGACCGTAGTATGACGTACATCGAATTGCCATCGCTCAACGTGCTCGCCGGTGTCTTTGTCGGTGATGACGATGACGAGCTTGGAGATTTTGCCGCCGACCATCCATTTGTCGAGCTGGCTCATGATTTTCTTGATGTAGGCTTTGACTTGGTCGTCGGCCGAGACTAGAATCGCGTAGACGAGAGAGGGTCAGTCGGTCTGAGAGTAAAGTGGTGGAAGCAAGGGAGGTGTTTGTGTACCCAGCATGTTGAGGCCATATTTCTTGACGCTGTGGAGATGGGTGTTAGCTGATGATGTTCATTAATTGAGCTCTGAGGAGAGGGAGAATGGTATCGTACGCTGTGAAGTCTTCGGCTGGGTAGACGCCTCGTTGGAATCTGTCATGACGCGATCAGTTCTTTGTCTCGGGCTTGATATCGTTCTCTGGGAGTCGGTCTTCGTACAGGATCGTATGTATCGAGTATTGGAACTGTTGAACGACAGAGAATTGATTCAATTAGCATCTGCGCGTCTGAAAAAATTGGGCAAGGGAGGTTTCTGGGGAGAAGCCTTACAAACTCAGCTACTAGCCTTGAGCTGCCCTTGAGCGACAGCTTGTGCACCTTGGATTCGTCCTTGCCCTTGCTCTTTGACTTGTCCTTGAGCTTTTCCTTGTCCGCGGGCCGCTTCTCTTTGGGTGCTGATGCCTTTGAGGACGTCTTTCTTATGTCTGTCTCCATGGCTGTGGGTGCTGGACTGGGGAAAAGGGAGAAAAAAAGAGAGAGAGAGAGAAAAGAGGTCGTTGGTGTAGGGATGGTGATGATGTATTCAGAAAAAAAAGTGGTTCAGCCCGATTCTCGACTGTTTACTTTTGGCGTTGCTTGGGTGCTATGCGAGGCTGCGGGGTTGCAGGGGGTTTAGTGGAAGGGTTTAGTTGCTTTAGTGCTTTAGCGGAAGCTTTAGTGACCTCCAGGGCTTGATCGACGTTGATGGCCTTGACTTATGGATTTACTTGCTGCATGGATTGATGGGATTAAAAGAGGAGGAGGGTAAGGAACAGAGGTAGCACTTTAGTATTACTAGATTGAAAGACGCAATTGAATATTTATTACATGATTTTGACAATGTATACTTATGATAATGCCTCAGGCAACTCCGTCATATTGCTGCTCTTGATGCCATTCTACCACCAGCTTTTCCAACTTCTCACCTACACATTCTCACTTACAACTTCTCACTTACAGCACCGTCACACCACGAACATGCGCCCTCGCTGGTCGCGGTATCGTCCCTCGCACTCGCTGCCTCTCCATTGCTGCAGCCCGCTCTGCCATCTGACGATTCTGAATCGCCATCCTGGCCAGCCAATAAGGGTCTGAGCCATGAGCAAAGTACTCACTGACATCGTCCATGTCCATCCCAGCGACATATTCATTGAGGACCTCTAGCTCTGGAATAGGGGCTACTGGGGGTGTCGCTCGGGCTTGACGAGTCCTACATGGAGCTCTATTTGGAGCTGGAACTCGCGCACATCTGCAGCCTCCAGGATCTTCTGGATCAGTAGGCTGAGGCTCATCCTCTACACTTGCAGATTGTTCGTCGGTGCTTCCGTCAACTCTCGCTGCATAGTGCGCTACAATGACGCGCAGCAAGATGACGAGACTGACAAGAAGCGGAATCGTCTGCGCGCTGGTGTTTACCCCGTTGATATTGTCGAACTGGTTCCATTGCAGCGTCAACTCAATGGCCGCAATGTGAAGCCCGTAGACGACCAAATTCGATATGCCGCGCATGGTCCGAAGCAGATCCTTTTGTTCTTGCCTGGCGCGTTTTCGTCTTGCAATGCGTTCCTGGTCGTCCCGCTCTCGCCTGATGGCTCCATGTCAGATTCCAGACTGTGTTCTATGAATCATTTCTTCAGCAAGGGGAAATGGAGAGTGAGGCTGACTGTCTTCGATGACTTCCCCTTCGGCGGTGTCGCCGATGTATCAGAAACTGACCATCCCAGAATCCCGTCCAAGAGAGCGCAATGGCTACGCAGATGAGGATAATGGCGACGTAGATGACGATGTTGACCACTATGAACGCAGAGTTGCCAAGCTTGATTTTGGCGAAGAAAAAGCCGTACTGCTCGCACTGGCGTCCTTTGGTCGGTATATAGGTGGCAAAGAACCAGACCCCGATAGCTGAGATGACTGTGAGAAGGATCATATTCGAGATACCATAAACCGGCATCTTGATTTCTCCCGCCCACTTCAGCGGATCCCACCTGGGGTCACAACAAGAGAGCGTGTTCCAGACATATATCGGTATCAGAAAGATGTAGCATCCGGCGGCGAGCTGGAGTACGATATAAACGTCGGCGGGTTGGACGTCCTGGCTGGCAATCGCGACGAGCAATCCGAGAATGATCCCTCCAGACAGAAGAAGGCCCAGAAGCCGTATATCAGAGACGTCCGTTTCGTCAAAGAATTTGACCAATATCTCGCCGAACCACTGGATGTAAATTCCTAGTCGAATACCCAAGCCGTACATGTCAGGACGCCCCTGGTGTCCGCATGAGGCCATCGCGGTGAGTCGTGATTGCAGCAGACATATCTGTAGCCCTCTTCAAGAGGAGCAGAGAAAGTCTGGAGCACCAACTACATGGTCGACTTATCAAGATGGCAGAGAAGTCAACAGTCTCAAGCTGTCACAGGCGTGGTCATTTGCTGCAGCTCGCCTTGCTGCAGAAGATTTCGCGCTGCCTTTAACCTTAACAGACGGGCTTCCTCTCCGGTTGGGCAAACGCGAGCAATCTGCCTCTGGCGTCCGTCAGTAGCGCAGTTATATGTTACATCTCCAGGGCATTGCTTGAAACCTCAGCATTGGCCAGGCAGCGGATGAGGCAAGCGAGGCGAGCTGGTGCGTGGTGTAAGTGCGGACACGCCATCATTATTAGACGAGGTAACATTCGGCATGACAAAGCGTGAAGGGCTGTCTATTTGCGTTGATTACACGTTGGCATCTTTCGGAGCAATTTGACAGCTCAAACCTGGTATATGAAACACGCGGCCGTGTTTGTCAAGGCGACCCAAGTGTAACCATTTAGTTAACACATTAGGCATCCATTCTGCAGCTATGGATGGTGAAGCTTTACTATTGAGCTACAAAGGAAATCCCATGGCTGTGCATGTAATTTTGTTGCCTGAAGATGAGAGAACTTTCAGATTCGATATTGCTAGGTCCACCAAGTGGAGGCAAGGAAGGGGTGATATGAGATTCAGGGGAGATGCTGATACTTTACCCTTTGCGATGGAAGTATTACAGAAAGGCAAAAATTGGTATATACCCGATTATTGCGCACACATACTGGTAAAAGTAATTCACGTATACGGTGATGCGACAATAAATAATAATACCTCATGTATCATCACAGGGCAGTCAATCGTTCTCGCCGCTCCCACTATGAAGGAAACCTCCATTACTACAATGCATTTCCATGGAAACCTGATGCACTCACTATATTGTAAAGCTATTGTGTGGGTAATTAATTTTCTTTTCAAGTCTATGACCGGCGCACATATGTCATGTAGTGTTCAAATCGACCAAACTTGAAGGCGGATTGGCTTATAGATTAACTTTGGAATGGCGGACTGTGGGAGAGATAAAGAGCCACCACTTTTCTCGGCCAGCAAGCCACCAGACCTAACCGAAGAGACATGCCCACAGATAATTATTGGAGACATAGAAAGGAATAAACCTCTCGTGCCTCCTGTTCAACAAATCTCGTTCGAAATCCCAACGCTTCTACATGGTCGAACTCACATCTGCCAACGTATACCCCTGTATTGCACCATTACTGAACACATCACCACTTCAGTTCATCACTTCATGTCTACATTATCTAGTCAAAAGCAATGTGGTCCTGCACTAGATGCCTTGCCCACAGAAATTCAGCTTCTTATCTTAAAAGCCCTGGTGAAAGACGGCTACACGCTGAGCCATTTGGCTGCAGTATCTCGAGATTGGCAAGCAGAGATTGAGCGATATAACTTTGCTCGAATCAAATTGACGCCATCGCGACTCGCCGGTTTTGGCCCAATGGTTCATCGCAACCGGGCTCTTGTTCAGTATATCTGGCTCTGCTTGGAGCTGGAGGAATACGATTGTACCAAATGCGCCCCTACTGGAAGACTCTCAGAAGACGAAATGGTAGAAATGTATGCTATCAACGATACAACCCACGGTCCTATCACCACAGCATTCGAAAACCTGTTTGCAGTTCTTAGTACATGGGATCCCAACGGCAATTTGACGCTTGATATTAGTGTCTACTCGCACAGTGACTCAAAGCATTGGTTCAAATATCTTACTTTTATGCCTGACATCTCTTCAGATGAGCTAGGTGATGATGTTATAGAGCAGACGACATTAGATCAAGTCCATAATGACCCTCAACATGGCTGGGGTGGTGTTTCTGGGTACTCTGCTCCGCATGAGAGGGCTCTCCACAGAATATTCCATGCCATTATGGACGAGGGACCGTTTGAGAGCGAGAAGTTGGAGCTTAAATGGTGGGATCAGCTTCCATCGGTGCGTGTGGTAACCAAATTGCTTCTCCGGCAACAGAACCGTCGGAGATGGAGGCCTGACGCGCTTGCACACATGTTTGCTCGTTTTCCCAGACTTGAGGAAGTTCATTACGAGCCGTGGAGGGAATGGAGCTTTATCAAAAGAGATACTGATGCAAGTGAGTATTGGTTCATATCTATCTGCTCAAGTGTTAATTGCTTTCACTTTCTCTAGATACTCTATTGCTAAAATGCTGCATCTATTTTCTAGGGTATAAATATCTTTTCAAGTCTATTCAGCGATCCAACTTCCACCTCAAGAGACTGGTCATCTTCGAAAACTTCAATCAGCATTATCCGGCTTTCGAGCAGCGATTTTTGGACGGGGTTGATTTGACTGGATGCGAGAGTATACGCATCCCAGATCCAGACGTTAGCCGGATAATCGCAGCCACCAGCCTTAGGCTTGAGCATCTCGCAGCATCTTTCATTGTGGATGCCATCCATTTTTTCGAGATTGAGCCCCTCCCGGTGTGGTCAAATCTCACCTCGCTTGTGCTTACTTCAAAAATACTTGCACCCAACGAGAATCCGATCGAGATTGAGAGTTTGCTGCAGACAGCGGTGGTAAGGGCCATAAAGATGCCGCGGCTGGAAATCATGGAGATTTGGAATGGAAGAAGAGGGCTGGCGGCGCTTTTCCAATATCAGGTATTCGGAGCACGCAGCACGCTACGCTTACTTGGAGAGCCACATGGAGTTTCGCCATGAAATCTACAATCAAGGCCTGGAAAGCTGTTATGCATCATCACTACAGTGGTTGGACACTCGATGTGATTCACGAACGGCTGAGTGGAGCTGATATCAACAGTCACGGTGATGCAATTCACCACCTAAATCTTTCAAGCCAGGTCGTTCGGCCCATCTCGCTGCAACAGATTCAGAGAGAGCAGAAGGCTCTAGAGGGCATACAGAGTGTGTATACCAAGTGAGTCGTTGATAGCAGAAGCAAAGTGCCCCTGCGTAGTATGAGTTTAAGAGGATCTCTTGCCCGTCGATTCTTTTCGCGCCGCCCTCCAATGCCCAGGATGATGTTGAATTTGCATTTGCGAATTGTACGAGGCATTAAGATTGAGGGTGCCTGGCGAATAGAGCTATATTACTCTCAGAAGTTACTCCAGCTGTTTCTAAGCGTGCCACGAGAATAATTAGACTTGCAAAGTTGTCATTGTAATTCAGCTTGGACTCTATAGCTGGATTAAAAATTTTAGTATACTAAAGATCCTAGACTTTAGGGCGATCTACGGGCAAAGGATAACAATAAATACCACCGCTGAACAAGAACTAGTATATCGTGATACTCTATTCATTGTACGTTAACGACCGGCTGCCAGAATCATCGAACGTAGGAAGTAGACTTATATATCTGGTTGGTGTTTCTGGATCGCGGTGAGCAGTTGGCTTTCTCAGGTTGTGGAATCATGGAAAAGAGATTCAAATATGAATAACTAAGAACTCGATGGTGAAAACAAAGTGCCACTATGTATTATCAATCTTCAGCTAACTACAACCAACTGCTAAACTGCCATTATTCAAGACGACATTGATGAAGCCTGACGCCATAATTTGGTCTGCGATTTAAATGGACCTGAAGTCACCGTATCAAGTTTCGTACGCAGTATATACTTGCAACGTACTATGGTAGGTCCCGAATTCTTCATCGAAGCTGTTTCTCACGGGGTAGGCCATGTGTCCAGGTTCGCTCTTACGTCGCTTTATGAGTTCATGTTCTCTGCTTATACGGCTACTTCTTTGGGCGTCAGAGACGATTGTATCGCAGGACTCGTGGTCATATCCCCTTGGGCAAGATTCTTTCTTGCTCTCTCTTAGCCAGCTGCGGTTTTCTTCGGCTTTATAATTGCCTGGCCGCATTTCCGGCCCTTCGGTTGTATCCAGAATCGGAAGAGACAGGACAGCGAGATCTTTGAGGTGACCAGCAATATGTTCGTGCAGCGGCCGATACGGATTGTCTCCTGCGACCTCGGTCGAGATACTCCGCTTAGGCATATCTAGAGAAAAATCGCATAAAGGGCACATATACTCATCATGAGGGAGATATCTCCATTGCTCAATCTCCAGAACACGCAGCTCATGCTCATCCGGTATAACGGGATGGCTGTCTTTGTCATTCATGTGCTCTCGAAAGCTTTCAACGTCTTTGAAGTGGATAGCGTCATGGCCAGTATCGCAGATCCAGGAGGCCGGGTGAATTCTCCTAGTCCACTCATGAGAGTGCATTTTATTCATGTGTTCGATCCATCGCTCCATACTAGCGAAAAAGAGCACTGGAGAGCGACATTGTTCCGAAAGGCAGACGAAAGGCTTTACATCTCTATTCACATGGAGTCTGAAATAGGCTAGTCAGAACATAGGCTAAGATTGTAGGGGCGATAAGGGGATACTTGCTCCCAGATCTCGGGGCGGCGGCTTAGGAATGAGGGAGTCGTCCCTTGTGCACAATACGAGCATATACCATCCTCAGCCTCTGGTGGCAGATGAAGTTTGGGAGGGTATTGGCACGTAGATGGACGCACAGAAGACCCTATATCTTTGGTTGGAAAAGCCGATTCAATACTTATGCCGCTGCAGGCTATATCGACGTTCAGTATTTTGCTCGTAACGACAGATTCTGTGGAAGCAGTACTACCTTCAATGCAATGAGGCAAAGGAGCAAGCGTGTAAAAAGACTGAGACTCAGGTGACTGTGGCGGAATGATGCGGCCTGGATATGCTTGATTGGTATTGGCTTGGTTCCATGCTCTTCGGGCTATCCTGGCCTTCAGCCTTTCGGCATCTTTAAACGTGCGACGTAAGCGTCTTCGGCGAATTGCAACAGATAGGGCTAGTTGATCGCAGAGCGAATGCCGCGCATGGGGGAACATTTGCCTGATAATGGAAAACATGCGACTTTTAATGTCCGCGGTTTTGTGAAATGGGAGAAACATGTCGAAGTTGAGATCATCATTCCGTCTAGATGCCTCTCGAATCATGTTTGTCAGGCCGTATAGCTCTTCGATCCCAACTCGAATGCCTTCGATCACCCCATAGCCTGTGTATAGGCGTTCTGTTTCGCCCGAAATCACTGAGCATAATTAGTCCACAAGCCATAAATATGATTGATAACCATCCATAGGAGAGAGGCATACCGTATTGTAAATCTTCCATGAGCACTTCGAGAGTACCTATAACCATGACTTTCACATCTTTGTACTCGTTGAAGAGGGAGTCCAGGTCATGAACGATATGATTAGCTAGATCAGCAGTCTCTGACATCCAACGAGTGAAAGACTCGTTCATGTGCATTATGAAATCGGCAATCTCTTTCTGACTTTCCACGGTAGTTTCTGGCTTGTCGGAAGCAGATGGTGGATCCTTTTGACTCATTTGGCGTCCAAATAGCCCGACGCACGCCACAGCCAAATGGGAGACGTGTTTATTGTATATCTTATCATAGTCATACTCTTCAAACTCGAGGTCATCTTCGCTCTCTAAACTTAGTTCGCGGCTCTGATCAGAGCTTGCCACGTCATCATCGCCGTAAGAGGAGGCATCATCCTGTCTGCTGGCTTCTTGCATTGCGAGATCGCTATGAAACCAATGAGATGTGGAAGTTGCAAGTTGGTGTTGAAGAAGAAAGGAATCGCGCCTCTAGATTTTGCGTTCTTTCTCTGGAGCAGTCAGACCATGTGGTCATTCCGGCCGCAGTGGGAATCTCGGGTTTGCCAGCTGTTCTGACGTAAATCGAGACTTGCTGTCACACGCTAGTTTGTTTTTCGTGACTTGTGTTACTCGACACTATAATCAACTGAGTTGTGCTGAGAAGATTTGGTCTGTGAGCTATAGTGTCGCCGCATCTAATATGGAATGCGGTAGGCGTCGTGCAACGTAATATATAAGGTAGGGAAAAGAAGGATGTACGTAGTAATAAAGCGTGTTTGTTAGTTGTAGTACAGAAGCACGCTGTTCATAGTACAAAAACGCGCTGTTCTTGGTCCAAAACGCGCTGTTCATAGTGTACACAAATAAATAGGTAGGCTTTGAAAGCATTGGTACTATACTTGTGATCAAGCATCAATCAAAGAATGCGTGTGCCTGAGAGAGAGATTTTGAAAGGAATCTACGTTTTGTACAATATTTGTACATATACATTGAGAAACCCTCTTTCATACCTCTTGATTCACGTGCTGTAGTAGCCTTTCGGAAGTTTTAGTAGGACAAAGCACTTTTTCATATCATCATCAGGTTGTGCCCTGTTGTACAAATAGAGAACCCCTCTTTCGCTGGAGTTCTTTCAGTACATCGTAGCGACGTTCCCCGTACTCCTCGAAATCCTGTCGTTACTGCATTATTAGCTGGCCATCGCAGGAGCCATCCGAATCATATCGCATCTTTGCTTAGCTCTCCCTTGTTTATGAAGACTTGAAAGAAATCATTGCCATAATTGTTACGTTTCGACAAAGACTTATTCCTACAGTCGACGAAGGCTGCCCTGATTGCAGAGGCACACAACGGCCCGAGCCGCAGTCATTCATGAGCTCTGAATAGCATCTTGATTCTCACAAACATGAAAAAACCGAAAAAATCCCTGGCTCCATGTTGTGGGAGCTTTTCATCAGGATCCGTCCTGTTTTCTACCACGCGTTCCAGCAAAATGCTGCCAAAGTCTACACGCATTGTATAGAGCGCCATGTTGCCAAAACCAGTCGTGGTATCAAGCGAATGTTTTTCCGTTTGCCAAAAAGGAGTTTAGATCGCAGAATATTGGATGACTCTGGCTTCTCTCAATCTCTCTATTCTCTGCTAGAAATACTCGAAAACTTAGCCCCAGTTAGCTTTGGTCAAGGCCACACGGTTTAGAGAACAGATTGTACTTCCTTTGCTGAGTCCCAGGAGGTAATTATCATGCCAACCGTGATATATGTATATATATATGCCGCTAATTTAGTTTCAGGAACAACTGCACCTCAAATTTGCTAATCTCATGGCTATGCAAGATGAGTTAAACAAAGTCAACTTCGACCCTCAACAGCCCGCTGTATTGTCTCAGGAACGGGAAAAGCTTCATAATGGAGCTATCTCGCCCAATCAACTTTTTCGACCTCTGCAGACGCGAGTTACATCAATGTATCTCAAATATAATGAGTTTTGGTCCATATACAGCAGGCTTCTGAGCAAGCCCATCCAATCACTACAAGAACTTTCAGGGCACACTGAGTACCTTGAGACGGATGAAATACAATTCATCAAGCAAGCGTATGATTTCAACCTCCAAGCTCGAGAATTATATAGCTTACTTGCAAAGAATCTTCTATGCAAAGAAGCCCGTTCAGTTCAACTACACCTGTCGGGTTTCCTTTCTCCAGATGCAAACAACAGCTCTCAAGTATGTATTAGTACTGTTTGTGGGGTCACAAATTTGGACTCAGCCACATATAGACGGTTAGGCGAATTTTCTACAACAATTTTGCTCTTGTTTAGATCTAACAGTACCATAGGATGAACTTTTCCATGACAAATGCAGAGCACTTTCAAGACGAACAATTGCTTTGCGCTCAACATCATGGCTAGATCACCACTAGATCTGACGTTATAGGGACGAAGCAAGATACTACATATCAAGAAATTGCGACTCGCGACACACCTATGGGCCCTACACTCCGCGAACTGACATTGCGTCTAGGCCATGGCGAAATTTCTTATTGCCCCGGGCTCGAGGCAAAAGACAGGACAGAGCTTCAGTTCCTCATTGCCTGCTCGCTACTAAATCTTGATGGTAGCCATTGGATTCGATTAGGGTTACATGGCGATAGAATCTCTTTGCAAGGGGCAAAGGGGAAGTCTAAGGTGTCGAGATGCTGGGAACCGCACCTCAGTTGTACTCTATCAGCACCAGGGAGTGAAGAAGATGAAAGTTCGGCAATTTTATCCTTTGGTATTCTGCTCATGGAGACAGAAGCTGTCAGGGTCGCACCACTGATAGAGCCAGGCGGAGGCCGTCCTTATACTACTCTCTCCCTTGGCGGCATCCTAAGTAGGATCTTAGAAGATTGGAAAGGGGCAGTTGAAGACAGCTACCGGAGTATTGCTAATGCCTGTCTCCATTTTGAGGAAAATTTTGAGATTTTCTACGACCCATCAATGGACGGAAGAATAAGGCGAACTGGAGCAATCTATAAGCACATCGTCGCACCTCTTTTTCGCTTCGCTACCCAGAGATTTAGCAAATCACTGCCTCGAATGAATGGATTTCCGCTATCTGCTAAGAACTATCCAGCTTCCAAGAATGATACATCTTCATCGTCAAGGCCTGCAACTGATGCGACTCTGTTTGATGGCTTTGAGCCGACATCGCCTACTCGACAGTAAGCAGCAGCCAGAGCCGGCTTAGTTTTAGAAACGTATATTGACAGGTCCTGGAAATCCAGAGAAAGGGAACGCGCAAAAGTATTCATGGACAAGCTTCAAGCCTCCGCGGACTATATTCGAAGCGTAACTGAGAGCTCGAATATCTCTGAATCGCATTGGCGATTACAGAAGGGATTGCAATACTTGATACTGGTATCGATATGGAGAACGACACATTGGTAAAAACGGCTATCGAAGAAAATGACCGCATCATGGAGTGCTGTGGATTCGTGAGCGATCGTGAATCACTTCCAGATTCTCTAGATTACGAAGACTTCGACGGCCATGGGACACATGTCACCAGGTTGATATTGAAAGCAGCCCCATCAGCAGAAATCTTTATAGCCAAGATATCTAATGGTCGTAACATTGAACCTCAACGTCTTGACATCATAGCAAGGGTTAGTCATCATACACAAACGAGGCGAAAAAGATTGAAGAAGTGCTGACTAGCAGGTCTTTGTCAGGCTATCACATGGGCTAACCAGAAAAAGGTTGATATCATTTCAATGTCCTGTGGCATCAATACTCCAGACGAGGCGATAGACAAAGCAATTGAGACAGCGATTGAGAACAAAATCAGCATCTTCGCGGCAGCTGCTAATGGCGGTGGTAACAATTTGCGTCCATATCCTTCAAGAGGGGTGATGGTGTCCTGGCAATCCATGCGAGCGATGGCCTGGGCAATGATGGTGGGATTAGTCCCACGCCGATGAAGAACCGCGAAAACTTCTCGACGCTAGGTATAGCAATCCCGTCGAAGTGGAAGAAACAAGCTGTTGACATTTCCGGGACGTCCTATGCCACGCCTATTGCCGCATCATTTGCAGCGAATATGCTTGAACTGGCCCGATGCAAGGTCGATTTGAGCGAACATCAGCAGAATATGCTCCGCAAATACAACGGAGTTCGTCAAATCCTTCAGCTCATGGTTGGAAAGGACATCCAGCCGCGCGGCGGTTACGATTATATTGTGCCGGAAATTAATAACAAGTTGGAAGAGAGATCTCGGTTGCTTATAGACGAGATGTTCAATTAAATTTCCGTACGCAGAATACTGACCTGATAGCTGACTTTCCACTTGCTACGACTTTATCTTCATCATCAGCCTTTTGACAGCCTAGCGATACTTGATGCGTTGTTGACACAAACTACAAAATCGACGAGAGGACAAAATAGAGAATGAGAGATCAATTTTCTCGTAATTGAGGAGTGAGCTTCTGATAGAAACAAAATCAACAAATATTTCCAAATACTCCGAGAGAGAGAGAGAGAGAGAGAGCGTTGTTTAGACACCTAAACTCCTAGTATCTTTGGTGCCATCCAAACTTCATCACCCTCGGAATAACAAGCCAGTTCCGGTATGTCGTAATCCGCAGGCTTCACCACAACAAACTTTGCATCTGTCTCCGGAGAATTGCTGGAATTTTCGCCATAGAATGTAGCACCGGCAGTGACATATTGACTTTTGATCTCCTTTTCCCCAAATATACCCAAGAATCCCGACTTCTCATGATAGATTTTGACACATTGGATGCCAATAACGATGTCACTTGACTCTGTGAAAGTGAAGACAGAGTCGTTTTCTAAACCTCCCCCTAATTTCACACCCGCCTCAACATTGACCCCTCCAGGGTTACTCACGCCCTCTTCAAGGCTGCCTTTCATGTTTGTCGTTTGATCCATCCCAACGGTCACTCCTTTGCCAATCTTGAGCCCAGTAACCAAGTACACGGCCTTCTTATATCGCGAACCTTGCAAGTAGTCATCTACATCTGATAGCTTGAAACAATCCGAGATGTACTTGGGGGTGGGATAAAAGAACTGCGTTTTAAAGCTTTCGAATGAGTATCTGAGAAGAGAGACACGTGTTTGTTTGTTTTGTTTATTTGTTTTATTATTAATGTTTATTAAGTAAGCTAGTTATATAAATCCCTTTTAGGCAATAGGATAGTAAGAGCTATAGATTTAAAGTCTATATTTACTATATATTATATAAAATAAAGAAAAGTATTATATTAATTTATATTTATTATATTAATTTAAGTCTTAGGAGTAAGGCTATAAGGGCTTATATCTTTTACTAATATTTAAAAGTGCTTATATTTATTAGGGCTTAGTAAGTAAGTAAAGGGAGTAATATTTATATAAAGGTCTTTTTTAAAGACCTTTAGTAACTAGGGTTAAATTATTTTATATTTTATAAAATAGCCTTAAGTCCTTAATTTACTATACTTATAGGTAGGCCTAGTATTATAGCTAAATTTTTTATAGTATTTAATAAAGTTCCTATATTTTATTCTTTTTATATAAAGCTTATAAAATATAGCTTTTAGAAGTTAAAGCTTTAGGGGTTTAAGGAGAGCGTTTAGCTATTAGTATTTATAATAAGGTAGTTAATTTTAATCTTAATTTAACTCCTAGAGCTATTTTCTTTTACTTTTAGCTTACTTTTTAATATAGGTTATTATTATAGACTTAAATAATAATATAAAAAGCTTTAATTTTTCTTTTATAAGTTTATTTATTACTTTATTTTTATATATATTTTTATACTTAAGTACTTAAGTTACCTTAGTGTGGATTTTTAATTTTAAATTTTTTATAACTTTTCTAAGGCTTATATAAGTATTTTATAAAGAGTAAAGTATTTAATTAAAAATCCTATTTATTACTGCTAAGTTATTTAAAAAAAAAATAATTTTATTAATACTTAAGTTTAGTTAAGCTCTTTTTTTAATAAGTTTAATTACCTTATAGGCTTTAATTACTTTTATATTATATATTTTAATATTAAGAAAGTATTTATTAAACTTAGTAACTTAAGCCTTATAAAAGGTAATTACTTTTTATTTTATATTATTAAACTTATTTTATAAGCTATTTAAGTAAGTAATTAAGGTAAAGTTTAAGAGGCTATTTAGTATTTTAAAGTAACTTTTAATTACTTTTTCCTTTTTAATTTCTTTAAACTTAAGACTAAGAAGGACTGCTTTATTATTATAAGTAAAAAGGGAGGGTTTAACTATATATTTTACTAAGGCGGCTATACACTAGAGTTTAATTAAGGGGGCCCTTACTAATCTTTTATTTACTCTTTTATTAATAAAGTAATTTTTATTTAAGTAAGTAAACTTAACTTTAACTTAAACCCTTACTTAAGCTAAAGCTAATAAGGCCTTTAAAATACTTAACTCCTTATATATAACCTTTAAGTTAATTATTTTTTATACTAAGACTATAGCTTTTACTACTGCCTTAATAGCCTTATTTATTTTTTTAATTAAATTATTTATATTAATATTAGTAATTTTAAAAGAGTTAAATTAATATTATTTTATTAAGCTTAGCCACTAAGCATTTAACTTATTGAATACTACTACGATTCTGGGACTGTGTCTTTTTGTATTTGTTGAAGTATATATATCCTTCGCCGACTGCACCACGAAGTGTTACGCATCCATTTGTACGACTTTAAAACCTGTTTTCCTAACCTTTGTAGAGATAAACTGCCCTCAATACATATACACTGTATACTTACTTGAAAGGGACTCCAGTAACACGGGCGGAACGGAGTTTTGGGCGAGACTCAGCGGAAGCCATAGCGCTTGTAGCATGTATTAGCTGCCCACTTTGTGTTGCTTTCTTTTGTGTATCGTGACGTACGTACTCGTACCTACTGCTTTCTGGAGAATAATTCACTCTCCAAAAGCCCAAATATTACAAATGGTCTGTATTTGGCTACTTTGTATTTCTCAAACCTGTTTCCCGATTCTTCCCGAGCATATCCTTCCGAAGATCCTGTTTCACAGCATATGACTCGGAAAGAAGCTCTCCTTTTTACTACAACCATGGCTTGAAAATGCCTCTGACGAGTCTGTTTATACCCATTTCCCTTTTGGGAAACTGCATAGTATCCAATCCAAAGACGATTTCTAGGACATTTTTCACCCCATCGACGAGGTATAGTCTAAGACGAAGCCTCGCTTAGAACAGCAAAGGAGCTAATATGACATTCGCTGTTCATTACTATCCTTGAGTAAATAGTTGTGAATTGGCAACAGGCATAGGAGCACCTGAGCAGGGATGGTTACTTGCGATTAGCCCGTGCATTATTAGTGCCTTCACTACTGCGCAAGATATCTTGAAATAATTGTTATTTAGCATTGTCCACTTGTCGAAGCAGTGGAACACATGGCGTTGCCATTCGCGACTTTTGCTCCTACTAAGCGGCTAGATAATAAGCCTTTTCAAAAAAAAAAAAGGTGTTTTCTACATCTCGTAGAAAAAAAAAATCCAAATATAATTTATGTACATTATTTTGAGCTACATATACTATAGTATACTCCCTAACCCTAGTTTTGAGAGACATAGAGGGCAGCAACGAGGCATTGAAGGGCGCTGCTCTGGCTGCTGGCCGTAGCAGAGCCAAGAACATACGGACCACCCCAATCAGCGCCATTAAAGCAGTCGCCTGACTCGACGGCGAGGTCGTTTTGCCAGATGGACTGGGCGTTCTTTTCCAAGAATGCTTTGTAGGCAGGGTAAGGCTGGCTATGATACAGCTTCTGGAGGTTTCTAGCAAAGACACCCTTGAACTGGAGGTTATCACCGCTGCAGTTGTGTGACAGATCGCAGCTGTCGGCAAGAATGCCGTTGCTGTCGACCAGATGAGCCATGGTGGCATTGGCAATGACGCTGGCTGATGTGAGGTAGGATGAGTCTCCCGTGGCAATATAGAGGTCTGCAAGGCCACCGATGACGACGCCCTGGTTGTAGGTCCAGGTTGGTTGGTTGTTGTCATTCACACAGGTGTTGCCGTTGACAGCGTCGTTGACAAGGCCTTGGCTGTTGACGAAGCCGACCTTTTGGAACCAGGTCCAAATTGTCTGGGCGGCACTAAGGTACGTCTGCTTTTGGCTGCTGGGAACACGGTTGGCGAGACCAGCACTGATGGCAAAGTACAGCTCTATTAATCCATGTTAGCCTCTTATATCTCCCCGTTGTCAGCTGCGAGATGAAGGAACCTACCATTGGGAATAGCCAGTGGGTTGTCGGTCTTGGCTTCGCCTTTGAACCAAGGGAGACCGCCGCAGTTGAGATTACCCCAGCCGGCGTTCATATCCTGCCAAATGGCAATGGATTCCGTGAGGTAGTCTTGGACTCCGGTGAGATCGTAGACGTCTTGCCATGCCAATCCCCACCAGCCTTCATCGTCGCTACATGTTTTATTATCCATTAGCCTCTATTCAATTGAATACTTATCTTGAAACAAGCAAGAATACTCACTAATGGCTTGCTAGAAAGCCTTGTTCTCTCTTTCTGAACTTGCCGGGAACGGTGTTTGCTGATCCCTTTGGCACAACAATCTTACGCCCGGTGCTGTCTAGTTGTATGACGCCATGAGAAGGCTGGCCTCCCTTGAGATAGGTGTTTTGCCACATCCCAGCGGTCCTGCTCTTGACACCACTGTCGAGCGCAGCCAGGCTGGCAACTGCTGTGATCATGACACCGGCTTGCCAGAAGTAGTAGGCGCCATTGGGGTAAAGGAAGAGGCCGATGTCCTCGTCGTACCATCGGAGAAGTTGGTCGCTTGAAAGCGAATGATTAGTACGGGCGACAAACCAAAATCATCGGACAGAAGCTCATGAAGGAAGCTCAGAATATGAAGGAGCTTACTTGGAGCAACCAGCGTTGACATCGTAGGACGTGTTATCGGCATAGGCGCCAGTCACTACCAAGGCGGTCAATGCAAGAAGTGTCTTTCTCGCCATAGTGTATGTGAAGACTGGCTAAAAAATATAACTTGATCCAACGACAACTCTCAAAGAACCGCCTCTCACATTAAGGGATGTGGGTGCTGCGACATCTAAATGTATGCCCATCTAAGTCCCTTTGTCCTTTTAGTTCATAATTAACTCAATAAGCAAATGAGTTCCTTGAATTAGAGATAAAATACCCCGTGCTTCAAGGCAAGTCATGCATGTGGGATTGCATTCGCGAAGTCTCCTTTTCCGGTATGCCGTGGTCACGAGGAACCCAGGCAGCAACTCCCTGTAGGCCGTATACGAGTCAGGGGGTCGGCAGGTTAACAAAGTGAGAAGCATGTATTCCATTCCTTTACAATCCTCCTATGGTTGGCACTAGTATTGATTCAGCCTGTTTGTGAAGGCCCGATGTTGATGCGATGGTGAGCAGTCAGCCCACCTTGAGGCACTCATGGCAAGGCTAACGATCCCACCAAGAATTGATCCTCAGGGCCGACGATAAACAAGTTTTGTCTCCGAAGGTCACATATCACTTATAAGCCCCTGCAGCTGGCTCCGATTCAACGTTCTTCTGAGCTTCAGCCATGAATACGTCGTGACAAATATCTCGCGTGCAAGAAGCTTGAATCTGCTGATAGAGCGTGGCTGTGGGCTGCATGGAAACTGCTATCATATCCCAGTAGACTCTTCAAAATGGCGGTAGGCGACTGGAGTGCTATAGGAAAAGTATTGCACCTACCGAAGAGCCGACGCCAAGACAGCGAATATCGGCAGATGCATCCATAGCAATGCTAGGCGCTAATGGCCATCTTTTCGCGCAAGATATGGCCATATGGATTGTCCTTCCTAGTGCGGACAAGTAGTGATTATGCATCCGATTTCGAACTTGCTGACCGTGGCCTAGGAATTCAAATACTAGCATGTTCTCATTGGCGCGGGAGTTTTCCATGCCAATATGCGGGGAGACCCCAGCAGTTGGATCATTTTACAGACTCCATTCCACAAATTGTGGAGAGCTATGGTCTCGGAGAATAGTGCTATAAGAAAGCCCAAGCTCTTCGGCATCTACATTTGATGCCATTAGTACCATCTGCATGTCGTAACGAGTGATTTCAATACGATTGAGAAATTGATAGAGACGGCAAACAGAATGGAGCCCCCAACATTATCCCGTCGACACCACCAGAATTAAGAAGCGGCGGCTTTCCACCTACATATGAGGAACAATTGATTCAAGAAAATTTGACAATTAATAGCAGCATTAACAAGATACAAGCAGTTTCTTTTTTGGCCAGCTCAAGGTGGAAGGTGTTGACAAGTGGTTGTTTGTCTATATTCCTTCGTCCCACATAGTTGCTAGAAGCTAGGCTCAACACTGCAATTCCGAATCCTTCTACTCGCCAAATCTTTCCTTTGCAATACTTTGCAGGGTTACTATGGCTGCCTAATGCTACTGAAATCCGGGGTATCAATTGCGCCTCCAAGCGTTTGGAAAGCGATGGTTTTGGTGCCTGAGCCATTTCACCAAGCCCCCGGTTCCAACTTACGGGACAGGCCATCGCGTTTATTCGGCACGTCTCTTGGAATAGTGAAAAGAAGAGATTTTAGTTTATACTATCCCTGCTGCTTAGAACAAGCTGGAAATGGTAGCATAGAAAGAGCAGACCACTGCTTGCGAGGCCTGTTGGCTTCCTGATCTGGCAGTGCTCCGGCATATTAAAGAAAAAGCCATGCCCACGATCTCTACGCCTTTTTAGTACGTTGCAACTGTGAAACGCCTTTTGTAGTCGCACATCATGCAGACAAAGAATCTCGCTGCACTGGCACTTGTTGCCCTGGGCCAGTTCATAGTAGGAGTATCTGCCAACTCTGGTTACGCAGGGAGCTGCACAAATATACAGATCTATCCTCCCGACGGCAATACCAACTACTGGAAGATTGCCGCGGACTGCAAGAACAACGCGGGGCAGACTAACCTGAATACCAAGATCAACATCAACTCGTGTTTCAGCAACTCAAACGGAGCCCTTGTTGCTCAGCTGAAGTAAGAAATACCTTGGCATCGTCGATCGCTTTGAAACAATCGCTCACGTGCATGTGTATAGTGGCGCTTTTGCATCGTCATGTACGAATGTGATACTCACAGGCACGGTTCTCAGCGCCAGTTGTCGCAACCAAGGAGGCGCCAGTGTCAATACATCGATAGATACAAGTAGGTTGATCCCAGCATAGCGTACTAATGCATTTATTGACATTTTTGCAAAGATAATGTTATTGGCAATGCAAATGGTGCTCTGTATTGCTTTAATCAGGGAAATTTATAGGCGATAAGAGTTCAAATGTTGCAGATGTCATTTTGTACATGTCCGAGGATTATTTTGGTGTAAATGGAAAGAGAATATAAAATCGTTTAAGCGCTGAATTAATACCGTCTTGATCAATAAAAGTTGGATCGAGAAGATACTGGCTCATTTGACAAGACGTAGTAGTACAAGTCCTAGGTGGCCCCGTCATGAATTTTCAGATGACGGCCGTGGAGATAAACTGTCTTGAAGCTAAACTAATTATACTTATCTTTCTCGTGTACTAATTTTGTCCATCAACGCTATGCAGATTCCATTCCATAACGAAAGCCGCCTCGGGAATCATCGCGTCCTGCAGAAGAGCGGATCCTGTTAATGGCGTATTAGTTTCAATACTTTCATTTTTCCCAAATAGGAACAATAATTTGACTTCCACTCATCCATATCTGGCATCAAGGCCATCGATTAACATACCGTAACCAATGCAATTGTAACACGGCTAAAAAGGCTTATGTGTTAATTCTTTTGGCAAACGAATATGATCTTACGATTAGTAGTACGATAGAAGTCAAGCATAGGAAGGGCAAAAGTGCACTGGTAGACTCATGTAATCCGGGTTTAAAATCCTCAAGCAATCAGGTACTTATTGTCAGCTACAACTAAATAGTTTGACCTAAGAATAACAAAATTGACAGAGCAGTTGGATAATAGTATACATGATAAGTAGCTTTATCCATGCGGACCGAATTAGACACCAGTATTCTATATGCAAGAACACAAGACAGTATTTGCTTCAAAGCGCATAGCAACAAGATAGGCGTACTGTACGCCTTTGTGTAAAAAGGAACAAGGCTCAATGCTAAACTGAATGCAAATATGAACGTTGACGTGCCGGCTCGCAACATCTTTAGGCCACGACCAGAGAGCAGCATTGGAAGAGTCGTCCTGTTGCTTTTTCGATCGCCCTCAATGTCATGGAAGTCTTGTATCTGAATTGATCCAAGGAACCAGATAGTAATAATGAGGTCAATGGAGATACCGATAGTCCAATCGAGCCCATGCCTTTCAAGCACTCGATTGAAGAGTCGCGTTAGGATGAGACAACTGAAAGAAAGAAAAAAGTTGCGCATGAACCAGGGATACCACCGCGGCCACACATAGCATACAAATATGAGCGCTTGAAAATGTAAAAGATGTAAAGTGGCCCAGATACCAAAATAAGAGTAAACATATATTGGTCCGAGAGTCCATGCCAGCTTCCACCGAGTTTTGGCCTGATCAATGCTGATCAGGCCAGCGGGAATTGGGCGATTTGGTTTGTTCAAGTAGTCTTCTTCAGGTGAAGAGGTCTGGTTTGCAATATCGAAAATATAGTTGCAGAGAAGGCCGTTGATCACGACATCAACAGTGGGCACCACAGACTCCGCCAGCAATATGGGTGAGCGGATAACCCTGAGGAGAAGGGCGCCGATAAAGATGAACGCGAAGCCAATGAAATTGGAGCGTATTAGTCGGACAGTGATGTCGAATTCTCGCTGGAAAAGCAAAGATGATGAAAACAATAGATGGTTCAAAGACCATGAATATTTGTCATGCATTTTGTTTGTAGATAGAGATGTCTTTAGTGAAATGTTGAGTATAAGACGAATCGAAAAGGTTCAAGGTGGTAACAGCGAAAGATCAAAAAAGAAGTATCAACTCGATATGAATCTTGGCTTCTAGTTCTCTGCCTAAAAATGAATCGATTGATCCATTATTACATTTTAGCTACTCATATTTATACTTCGAACCATAGCCTTTTCGTGAAAATTTGCCCTTAAGCCATTATCAGTTTTCGGCATGAATGTAACGTGTCTAGAGGCAACCATTTATAAGCGTTACACAACCATCGCGATTTGGCAATCAGGTTGACAAAAGTGTGGCAACCGAGTTCTGAGCGTCTGAATCAAGTAACACAATATAGGTCTTAAAATCCTCGGCTCCTCTTTGAGATGGATTTTTCACAATCTTGATTTTGTTTGCAACAAAAAGTGGGCATATTCAGCCGCAGCCTTGCGCGAGACCAATAAGAAATTCGTTCGGTATGGTGCAATGCAGCTGCTGGTTCCAAAGAGGGAAGGTATTATTGTGATTATAGATAAGAGTAGATATTGTATATTATGATTACACTGCTGAACATTCCGGTAATTGTTTGCGTGTGTGAGAGAATGAGAGAGAGAAAGAAGAGAGAGAAAGAGAAGTAGAAACGAAGACTGACAGAAACGAAAAAGTATGGCACGACACGAAGTAGGGAAAAGGTTGACGAATGAACATTTTGGGGCTGTCTACGCTCTTTGTATTGAATGAGCAATGGAAGGATTGCCTAGAGCAGCCAAAAGGAAGATCTATTTGTAAAACAGTTATTGTGCTCGAGTGGTACCCTTGGGACGAGCACTCTATAGGAGTGATGGCTCAGTAATAGCTTTTTCATTGGCTGGAGACATCTTATTATTCCTACGACGGCTTGAGGCTGGAAACACGGTTTTTCCTCGCTTCTTTAAATCTATCTTCTTCTATATACAAACGAATGAAGCACTAGCTCATTGAATAGCAAGTAACGTAATGGTAAGTCTTGTAACAGCCAGCACAACGATATCGCTACATACATCACTACTATTAACGTGGCTTTCTACAAAATCCTTGTATGGAAAAGGATTTGCGGCCACTGCTGCTTATAGTACAAAGATTTCAACATTCCGCGTCAGCTCTCAATGGTAGAAGGAATATAAAACGCCATATAAGTATTATAGGTACATATAAGTTATAATCATATGAAAATTCCTTTTCGCATCTCTTCGTGCCTTCAGATTTCCCCCATTCTACTGTTACCAGTAATCTGTCCTTGAGAGTGAGCAGGCTGTAATTCGTACTTACCCCTCTTTCCTTCTTAGGCAAGCTGGTAGCTCTTCTAATAAATGCTACAATCCAGATACCTCAAAATGTATCTTACATGCAGCCGCAGTACCTAGGTACGTGCGTCCAATAGCTTTCGCGGATGCAACGTCGCCAATATCGATACTGCCGTGCTGAATTCTGCGCATCATAATTTCGTCTCGTAATGGTAACGCTTGCTCCTCTCGATGTTCATAACAAAAAACGTTGGCGAATATCATGGCTTCGGGAGATAGAGGTAGAAAAAGAGATTATCTACGAAACTCTTGGAGTATGGTGAAGCGATCTCTGTCATCATCTTCAGTAGCAAGAGAAGATCCCTCTACGACTTCGCAAACAAGCAACGCTTCACGCCTTGAGGTCCTGTCGAGGCCTTCTACACGCCCTCGCTCATCTCTATCTCCATCCTTATCGCCATCTATTAACTCCCAACTCTCGCTGAATCCCACAATTACAACTGAGCCACCAACAGTGCCCGATGCACCTAAATCGCCTCCGTCTCAACCGTCAAATCTCTGGAGTCGAGCGTTTCGCAATGCAGATGACACAACCAAGAAATGGCTCAAAGAACAAGGATTGGACCTCCAGTCTTCAGACGGAACGCAAGTCCAAGCTCAAATCAAAGAAGTGATGAGCCTCATGAAAAGCAAAGAGATTTCAGAAGATGTCAGCAAACCGCGGACAATCACAATCGCAAATCGCAAAATTATCGTTCGCGAATACCTCGCGGATGCTATTGGCTTTGTTACTATGGTCGGCGACGCAGCTATTGCTTTCGCTCCACCTCAAGCGAGTGCGCCGTGGGCTATTGCAAAAGCCGTCATGAAAGTATGTCAATTTTCTTGCTCCTCAAAGATGCTCTGCTGGGATCGGATGACCATATTGGCCAGGCTCATCTAGCCGCGTCATGCCATCTATTGAGATACAGCTTATTCATCTCGCCTCAGTATTTTATTAATCCATGTCTAGTCCAGCTATCTGGACCCAGTCTATCTACTTGGCCTAGATCATTAACCGGTTAGCTAACTGCTCAATACTAGATCCCAGTCAATAGTATTGAGCAGAAAGCTGCTCTTGTCGGCACAATCGAGTGGTTTATACGCATTACACGCAGAGGCCAAATCTACGAATCACTATACACGGCGGAGACGACAGATGAGGGAGTTTTATCGAACTTGCACAATGCCCTTGTCGAGCTATATACCGCTGCTACTGAGTTGTTTGCAAAATTTGATACCATGGCTAAAGGTGGCGCTTTCAAAGAGCTTTTGACAGCCGTCTTTAGTCCCAAATACGCTACAGATCTTGTCGCCAATGTAAACAAGAAGGAAGAAAACCTTGACAGGGAAGCCCGAAGTTGTGAAGCATCGCGCTCTGCTATATCATCTAAGGAGATGAGGACTCAAATAGACAATTTGGAGAACGAGTTGGCTCAGCTGTCTTCACCACTACTTCGGATAGATGATACTGTGTCAAGTATCTTCCAAAAGGTCAAGGCGGAAGAGCTAGAGAAGCTGATGGAATTTATCAGCTCAGAGATGTTTGGGAAAAGTCACGATAATGTTACACATTCAAGAGTGGAAAACACTGGAAATTGGCTGCTGGCAAACCAAGATTTCCGCGCTTGGCAAGATATACCCTCTTCTTCGGCTGTTTTCCTACTCAAGGGTGCTGGTACGTCTGTCTAAAAGTTCAAACTCCTAACGTGGCGGATAATACTTGGCTAACATTATCAGGCGGTACTGGCAAAACATATCTCACTTCCAGAGTGATTGATCATGTGAAAAGTAACTTGAAGAAATCGCCACATGACGAAGGGTTTGCATTTTTCTATTGTAATCGATCCGGATCTTCGATGCAGCAACCCATCGTCGTTCTAAGAAGCTTTGTTCGTCAGCTATCTGGTAAAGCTTTTGACGATTCTGATGAAATTCAAAGCAGTCTCGTTGAAAAATGCGCAGAGGCTAAAAAAAACGGGAGAGAATTGAGTTATGAGGACTGCGAAGAGCTCATCTTGAAATCCTTTGACGTCTATTCAAAAACGACAATCATTCTTGATGCTTTGGATGAGTCTGATATTGGGACGTACAACTTAGCAAAAGCTCTTATTCAAATGACAGAAAAGTCCAAAAAGCCGGTAAAAGTGTTTATATCGAGCCGACCAGATCGAGAATATTTAGAAGAAGTAATCAAGGACAAGTTTCTAATCACAGTGGACGCCAGCAATCAACACGATGACATTCAGAAATATCTGGAAGACAAGCTATACTCAACTAAGAGGTTTCAAGGGCGAGAAAAGGAGATACGAGATGAGATCAGGGGTATCTTCGAAACTAAAGGGAGCGGGATGTAAGTGGTTACCTACGTGCATACTTCAATTCCATTGATGTTGAAGACTAACATGAGAGATGCCGGACAAGGTTTCGGTGGGTTTATTTACAAGTCAAAAGCCTTGAAAAGTGTACTACGGATGATGCAGTGCATAACTGGACTCGAAAACTGCCACGCGACTTGACAGAAGCGTATAATCAACTATGGGACGTCATTGAAGAGCGTGACGAATCTGATGTCGCTTTAGCTGAGCGTGCTATTAAATGGGTGCTGTGTTCTACTGAGCCGCTCATATCAGAGCAGCTCTTGGAAGCCATCCAATATACAATCGAAGGATCTACGGTGGTGAAGAAAGGGAAACAGCCGCGGCAAGAAATCTTGTCACTTTGCCAGGATTTCTTGACGATTGATGAAAAACGAGGTGTATGGATGCTGCCGCATGCCTCGGTGGCGGAGTATTTTGAGTCAAGGGGCTGGACTGGTTGGAAGTGCGATGCGCTTGCTGCGAAGTTTTGCCTCGGATTTCTCGACGAATTCCAACCGAATGAGCTGTCTTACGGTACCTTTGCATATTACGTCAAAGACAACTGGCACAAGCACGTAACGCGATACGACAAATGGCTAGAATTGAAGGAAGAAAAAGCGGATCCAAGTGTTGCAACGGCTTTGAAGCGCTTTCTTGGATCGCCAAACGAGAGCAGCGACAGCTATCGGAAATGGGCCCAAAGTCACGAGTATGATTATCGCATACAACCTTCCAACATGGCTTTATTTGCGATGTGCAGATTCGGATTTTACCACACGTTGCGCGACTGGTGGCTGGAGGGCAAAATCACTCAGGAGATGGCCCTCCAAACAAATGGGTGGGGCGAAAACCCACTTGTGTTCGCGGCTGAGAGCGGTTGCGTGCCAATCTGCAGGCACTTGATGGGCTTGATTGATGCGATGCACCCCGATGCAGGGAGACACGCCGTGGCGCTGATCTCAGCAGTTTCCAGCAGGAATTACGACATCCTAAAGTTACTTGTGATGGAAGGGAATGCAGATGTCAATTTTGCAGATGGTCAAGAATCGACTGCTGCACAGTATGCTGCAATATTTCGCCCCGAGATGCTGCAATGGATGTTAGATCATAAACTCGTTAACCTAGAGAAAGAGAATGAGAGCGGCTATTGGGCTGGCAACGTTTTAATCGCAGCTGCAGGTTATGGAAACACTGAGTCAGTCCGAATTCTTGTCGGGGCCGGAGCAAATGTCAATGCCGCTGTGCGAAATGGCAAGTACGGGAGTGCCCTTGTCGCAGTGGCAGCGGAATGTGATTCTGAACGCCACGTGGAAATTGCAAATCTGCTCCTCGACAGCGGCGCTGATCCAAACCTGCCTTTGAGAGGTGGCGTATATGGCAGCGCGCTTGAGGCAGTGGTTCGTGTTCCCTGGGGCATGGGCACTAGAGAAGTAGAAAGCCGCAGAAAATTACAGTGTATGTTGCTTGAAGCTGGAGCGGATCCCACAGCCGTGTTTGATCGAGGCGAGCATGGAAGCGCAATGGCCGCTGCGGCATTCTTTGGATGGAAAGACTTGCTCAAGGCCATGATTGACCGTGTTGGGGCGGACAAGGCTATCCATGTCCTTCGCCAGAGCAGGCATCCCGATATACGTGAATTTCATAATGAGGAAGACGTTGAGCGTTGGAAAGACACGGCCGCATATCTGGCCAATGAAGTTGGCGCAAGTAAAGACGTTCTGCAAGGCATCGGCCTGTGGGATGTCGAGCCTGTGCATAATGAATCTGGACGGTCGGTGATTCGATTTGCTGAATATGGCGAGGAGAGGAATACTTCCAACGTTAAACTCCCAGTGACGGGTCGAATTGAAGAGTAAATGATGTGCCGGCTGATGCAAGCTATATTGAATCTCTCTGTATAAGTATACTCTTTTTTAAGGAGACATTATTTAACACCCTAATCTCATTATCTAACACCCTAGCTATAATATAATAAGGCAGCTATTCTGTATATTAATATATATATATATAACTAGTAAATATTATATATTTTAAAATAGCAGTAGTAGTAGTAATAGTAGTAGCAGTAGTAGTAGTAGCAGTAGTAGCAGTAGTAGTAGTAGTAGCAGTAGTAGTAGTAGTAGCAGTAGTAGTAGTAGTAGCAGGAGTAGTAGTAGTAGCAGTAGTAGCAGTAGTAGCAGTAGTAGCAGTAGTAGCAGCAGTAGCAGTAGTAGCAGCAGTAGCAGCAGTAGCAGCAGTAGCAATAATACTGGCAGCAGCCTACGCCTAAGCTGGAGGGTTAGATAATAGAATTAGGGTGCTGGATAACGTCTCCCCTTTTTTAGCTCCCAAGTGAAACAAGCGAGTCAAATTCATGTTCCCACTATGCAGTAGTCAGCGTGTCGCTCATTCTTGCAAACGGCTTGACTGCTTTGCGAAGGGTCTAATTGGTAGTGGCTCGTGATCTGCCCAGATTGAAGTACGCGGTCATGATATGGAAATATTGATTGACTAGCTAGGCATCATTCCTGGTGCCAGGTATACATTATCAGGATTGAATATCAATTGAACAACATTAAGAAGACAAAGAGGGTGACTTGAGGGGATCCAATGCCGATTTAAACATAAGCCACGTTGGTAGATTGTGAGAAGAAAACATGTCCCGAATACAAGAATCACTGTGGCGCATCCATAAGCATATCATTGCACACAAGAAGGCTCATAAATCTCTAGTAGTTCTTTATAGTTCATTATATTTATTGTATCTTGATTCTTAACATTTCAGTTTAATGACTTTCTCCCGTCGCAAACGCATATGTGAGTCAATGTAAAATCTGGATCCCTCGGAAACACAACTATTAGGCTGTCGTACGGAGACGATACCTTGCATTCCACAGCCCCGAGCGTTGTGAATCCCCAGTCTTGGGGCTTTCATTAACCATGGGCAGCTTCGGGTTGGCAGCAGGCCGCACATGAGCCTTCGGAGCTTTATACTTGATGCCACCGTTTGCACACTTGGCGTTGTTAAAGGCCGCGCCGGCAGCAGCCTTCCAGACCTCAGTGATATCCGTAACCATGGGCGCTGTCCAATAAAGCCGACAATCAGCATGTTCAACAACAAATTGCGCCGGAAGACCATCCTCCAGGTTCGTTCGGATTATCTGGTCTCGCACATTCATCGATCCCGCCGTGCTCCGCGCAATCGGCAGGCTCGAAACGTTTTGCAGCACCGCCTCGTTCGCTGCGTTGGTGCCAAGGAATGTTCCATCTTCGGCGAGCACGAAGACGTCGGTGAGCTGATAGATCTGCGAGCCCTTGACTCCGCCGACGCCCTGGATCGGGCCCTTTTTTGGCCGGCCACCGAAAGCAACAGACTTGACGCCTCCGTTGAGTCGGAGGGATTCGGATGCAATGGTGCAAGTCGAGGCGCAGGCACCGTCGTAGAGCAGGACAATGTTTTCCGGCAGGAATGGCTGAGAGAGATTTGCGCGGGTTCCGTATCCTGAAATCTCAAGGCCAAAGCCGAATGTGGTGTTTGTCGAGATGAGAGGATCGCTCCAGTTCCACCGCGTGAGAGCCGTGTAGGGTGTATCCTTGAACACTCTTGGCGCAAACTTGTCTGCAAAACTGGTAAAGGGCTTCTCTTTCTCGTTCAAGTCAAAGCGCCAATTCAGTTCCGTCAGATATGCCTCAATCTCCAGGAAACGGTTATCGGTGTAGGGATTCACGTGCTTGGAGGCGTTGCTGTAGACATGGGCCATGGTCTCAAACTCCGGGCTGAGCTTCCATCGCGAGAAGCCATCCGCTCGGATGTGAGGGAAGAGTTGGCCGTAAAGGTCGTAGCCCAGTCCTATGAGACCTCCACCGTTGCCCTGGAAATCGATAACGAGCTTCGTCTTCCCGGCGGTTACTGCTTCTGCAAAGAAGTTTTGGATAACGGCCTGAAATTGGATCGCGGAGCTGGGTTCAAAAGAGAGGAGAGAGAGGACGGCGACATCGTCAAAGCCCTCGCCTTCGAGAAAGTAGCCAGACACAGTACCGTCGTCAGTCGCCAGAACCGGCGCTGGGTATCCCGGGACCTGGCCCGACTGGGCTCCCGCGCTGATAGCAGCAAGAGGTTCCTCTCTGGGCTCGCCATCAATAGTGAGAACGCAAAGGTTACTGAAATAGGACGGGCCGTCCACGATGCCCGTGAAATTCGCCTTGACCGACGCGGTGTTCTCAAAGGTTGCGCTGGTTCCGTTGTTGAAGGTAAATGTCGTGTTTGGGCCCTGGTAGATGTATCGGACGCGGCCACCGCTCGAAAAGTAGCCTTTACTGCCTCCAGAAGCCGCTGTGAATCCTTTCGAGTAAAACATGGAGTTGTAGGCAGCATCTGCATCCTGATTGAAAGAGGCCGTTGTGACGGTGTCAAGGACGAACTTGGAGGCCTCGACCCCGTTGATCTTTGTGATTACGGGCGCTGTCTTTGGGTCCCTAATGACATCCTCTTTTGGTCGAATCAGCCACTGCCGATGAGTTTGTATAGGGCAGACTTGTTAACGACATGGCACTCACCATAGAGCTTAATCACGGGCAAATCCTTTCCATTCTCGCTGATTGATACAATGGGCTTCGGGCGTGTCCACTCAAATGCGATGGTCAACGCATCCGGATAAAACACAAAGTGCCCATCATGCGCCGGCCCCCAGACCCGAGCATAGAGATCCTCCTGAAACTCGTATTCGTTGGTATACTTGTCCGCCACGAGATCGGCCCTGACGCCGGCCAATGCCTTGAAGATGTCGTGAGGCGGGTAGAAGTAATCGGCGGGCGGGTCTGCCAGGTATGCCGAGTCCGACTGCCACTTCAGATACGGCTCCAAAGCGTCAATCAACTCGATGCCCGGTTCTTTGTGGAGGGGAATCGTGTTCAGGCACGCATGAGCGAGAGAGGCGGCCACAGTTGGTGTGGCTGGATGGTGTTAGTGGAGCTTGGTATCTTCATCTAATGTGCTCCGAAGACTCACCAGTGGCTCCAATCTGAGCGGCCCATAAGCTGCTGACTTGGGCGCATGGCTCGACAGTGTCACTTTTTGAGGCCTCTTTGGTAGTTGGAGTTGAAGCTGCTAGCACCACGGCCACATTAGCCCCTAAAGCTAAGAAAGACCGCATCTTCAATGCAGTTATTCCAATTTAACAAAGCAAAAGCTCGGATCTGCTTTCACGCAGAATGGGCGAGCGGCCCGGGTACACGGCCTGGCTTTATACAACATTGAAAAGCCGGCGCTGCTGCTCACACAGGCAAGTCATGTCAATGTTCACTAATATCGGGCAAGCTCGATAAGGCATTTGCCTGGATAGAATCAGCTCATCTATCAAAAGTGCCTTGAGGGATCAGTCCGATCGGCGCAGTTTGATGGGACAGCTTCCAAGTATCCGGCATCAAAAGGTCGCTACGGAGGCACTAGTCCGATCTTTTGAAAGTCGAATATAGAAGGTGGTAAGTATATGTATAAATAGACAGGGGTAGAATATGTAAAGTTCCACTATAGGAATAGTCAGTCGGCCATGAATCAAGCCGGCCGCTGTTTGTTTAAAGTTGGAGAATAGGCATACTGATAAGCATTCGCTACTTTTCGCCATGCTCACCTTGATGTGAGGACATGCAAGGCAAGTTGCGCAATTGTGGGATTGGTAACGTATTATAAACTGAACCGCAAGGTTACATGGAGAATTGATCAATGCATTGAATGTACCTCCTGCTGCCATATATGGTATGACTGGATTGATAGCCGGCAAAGATTACACTGAGCGCGGGGTGCAACGAGCAGACAACAGTGGATCAAGTACACGATCTGGCGGCTGTTTTGTTTATTCCCAGGAACAGAATCGCCAAATCCGGCAACCGCGTCAGAATTCTAGCCTGCGAATCGCAAAAGCGCCATACGAGGGATCGTGGGTATATGCGGTCTGCATCCTTCTCCTGGTTCTGGTTGACCCGGATGCCACAAAAATAGATGGCTTCATGGACTACTTCCCGTCTCTAGTCCGTCGCTATGTCGAGCTCGAGTATATCTGGGCTAGGCGTGGCCAACATTTGCACCAAAGTCTTTAACCCAATGATCAGGGGAAATGCTGCGTATTACAGAAGACAGTCCAGCAGATACTTGCTTATACCGGACACTTCGTTGCGAACAAATAGGGCACAGTCCGATGAACTTCCTCTCCCAAGCTATCGAGGGCTGTTCGATGGTCGTTCTATTCGCGATTCCGTTTATAACCTTTGTCCTTGGCTTTAACAGTTTTATCGTTAGTATCAGAGTGCCTGTTCTTATAACATTTCGATATGTTGAGGTTCAATCTTTCCCCATCAGGTTGATTATCACTAAATGTGTTGTGAAACCAGTTAATGGCCTTGGTGTCTGCCATGAAGGCTACCTTGTCAATTGTAAAGCTTTTGTCCTGGAGTGCCAACGTTTCTGTGCCATAAATCATCTCCACGTCACTTTCAATGCTCCTACGAACAGAGTCAAGAATATGCTGATTAAACATATGTCGCAGGACAGGCCATGGCTCTCGTCACCACACTTTATATCATCATGCTGCGTCTAATTAGGTGAACGAGCTCTCCTCTTCTATGTAGACATTGAATCTAATGCGCCCACTTGCCGAATCAGAATAGATGGAGCAAGAGTCTTATGCAGATATATCGAGTCGTATTACCTCTTGTTTCTTTAAAAAAAAAACAGGACGGAAATAAAAGTACGGCAAAGTAGCAAGTTAACACTACAATAGGCATCTGCCCATTTTGACATTGGCAATTTCTACCATGTAAATCCGATGGCATCGGGTAGTTTTGTGATACACAATATGCATTCTTAATTGAGATCTGTTGCCAGAAGCACCATCACCTGTTCCATACCGATTTCGGAGTGGATCTGGATTGCTCTCGTAGCTCAGTTGGTTAGAGCTTCGTACTAATAATTCAGCTTCGGCCGAAATCTTGGTAATGCGGAGGCCGCAGGTTCAAGCCCTGCCGAGAGCAGCAACTTCTTCACTTCAGTGGAGATATTTTTCTTTTAACAAGATTTGTTTTTCTTTTTGTGTCGCTGTCTTCCTACTGTCGCTTCCCATGTATGAGTTGCGGTATCTTCTAATTCGACCTTGACGCCTGCTGAATATTCTCTCTAATGATTTGCAACACACTCTCAGCACATTCCTCTGCCGTCCTGTCTTTGGTATAGATGGTGTACTTTGCGAGTCGCTTGTTGCTTGGATGCTCCAGAAAGTGTTTGTTGAGATCCAGTTTGTGATTTCTCCGAGCCTCCGTAATCTTCAAGGCTTCCTCCACATCCTCACACGGCATCAACAAGATAACGTTCGGATAGGGTTTCATCAAAGCCTCAATCTTTTCCAACTCTTCTGGATTCTCATATACCGAATGTCCGGCTCCGAAATCAATTACCTTGCCGTAAAACTCGTCGCCCTCCTTGTTAGCGGTTTGCAAGATGTGTGAAACGGCCTGGAATTCGAAGATTTTCCAATGTTGGTAAAATGGCCACAAGCCCTGTTCTTTGTATATCTTTTCTGCAAAGGCTTTATCGTAGCCAAATGGTGGGTAGAGCTCATCGCGGTGGCGATCAATGCTATACAGCTCCTTTGCGAGAGTCGTGGCGATGATTTTGCCGATTGTAGACTTGCCGGACCCCTCTGGGCCGATCAAGATGATGCTTTCAGCACTCATTATAACGCGTAATGGTTTATGAGACCTTTTGTTTGACACAATTCGCTTCTTCTTAAATATTTGTTCGGAACTGAGTTGCCGGGCTTGTAGAGGTTTATAAGTGAGTCATAACTCACCGACAAAAGTTCGCGGCCTTTACTTAACCCCACCGGCTCTCTGCGCCCTGGCGAAGATTAGCTTGTTCGTTTTTCATGTGTTCGGTATAGATTGCTTGTGCAACTGCATTTCTTAGCTCTCTATTGGCTACATCTACGGACAGGCGTTGGATATGACGCATCATATAATCTGTCGCGAGATCCCAAGACTCAGTCGAAGCGGTGACCCCGCTTACACCAATCGAGAGAGTTCTGTAACCACTTTGGGTGTGATAAGGTGTAGCGAACGATATACATATAAGCCCAGTGTTATTATTTTATCTAATATATGCTATAGTTGGGTATCTTGTAGTTGATGATGCTTCGTTATAAAGTGATAGAGAAAATTGAACTTTTGTTACCTGGAGTCATCGTCATGATTCGAGCCAGATATATGCGTAAGGGCTTTTTTTCCCTCTTCAAATACCTTGCCTTATGACGGGCGCCAACCTGTGTTTTCTCACATCACAGCCGTTAGCAAAGCACCACTCTTCTTGTTACCGTGGTGTTCGCTCTGTGCAAGCATCGCAATTAACATCTCTTCAATCTTACAGACCGACTGCTCTGCCTGTTTGGGACGAAGCCCAAGGTGACAAATCGACGCTAAGATTTCTCAGCGGGGCCGCCACAGCCTGGAGTTCATTGGTGGGGCGCGATATTGCTATCGATAAAGATTTTTTTCCTGGCATCTCGCCTCTTCTCGTTTTTCATTGCGACCCGAGACCCACCATTTTCCATTTGCGCAGAGTCGATCAGTCTTTCTCGTCGCAACAACCAAGACGCACGATTGATCCTAAGCTGCCAATTGCTATAAGACTGACTCAATTACACACAATGGCCGCGACAAAGCATCTCCTCGCTGAGGGCGACGACAGCGTTGCCGAGAACCGCCCGATCAAGAAGTCCAAGGTCGACTCCAGCGACGATGCTGAGAAGGCCCGCTTGAAGAAGGAGAAGAAGGACAAGAAGAAGGAGAAGAAAGACAAGAAGGAGAAGAAGAAGAAGTCAGAAGAAGAAGAAAATACCGAGGAGCCTGTAGAGAAGAAGAAGTCGAAAAAGGACAAGAAAGAGAAAAAGGCCAAGAAGTCTCAAGATGAGGACGCAACTGAAGAACAGCCCGAAAGCATGGACGTTGACGAGAAGCCCGTCGAAGACAAGAAACAATCCAAGAAGGATCGCAAATCCAAGAAGGAGACCAACGGCAATGCCTCCGAGGAAGCCTCCAACGGCAGCAGTTACGTCCAGACCATGAGCCTCTCCAACGTCGCCCAATCCGAAATCGACGAGTACCTGTCCAAGAACGAGATTGTCATTACAGACCCCAACAACGTCACCGACAAGCTCCGACCCATCACCGAATTCCACCACCTCCCCTCAACCAACCTCCTCGAGAAGAAGCCTTCTCCCTTTGCCAACTACAAAGCTCCCACTCCCATTCAGGCTGCCTCATGGCCATCTACTCTTTCTGGCCGTGATGTGGTTGGTGTGGCCGAGACAGGCTCCGGCAAGACCATGGCTTTCACTCTTCCCTGTGTAGAGGCCATTTCCACCATTGGAAAGAAGGGCATCAAGGCGGTTGTTGTGTCACCTACCCGCGAGTTGGCCATGCAGACATATGAGCAGATGAGTGGAGTTGCTGCTCTGCTGAGACTCAAGTGCGTCTGTCTCTATGGTGGTGCTTCAAAAGACGACCAGCGAGCGCTTCTCCAGAGGGGCGCCGACATCATCGTGGCCACTCCCGGTCGATTGAAGGACTTCATGTCTGACGGAACTGTCGATTTGAGCGGCTGCAAATTCGCCGTCTTGGACGAGGCCGATCGTATGCTGGACAAGGGTTTCGAAGAGGACATCAAGCTGATTCTTGGCTCCTGCCCTCCCCGAGAGGAGCGCCAAACGCTCATGTTCACTGCTACCTGGCCGTTCTCCGTCCAGAGCCTGGCATCCAGTTTCATGGTTAACCCAGTCAAGATCACCATTGGATCTCGCGGCAAGGAGACTGAGAACGGCTCAGTAGAGCTGCAGGCCAACACCCGTATTACACAAAAGGTCGAGGTTGTGGACCCCAGAGACAAGGAATTCAGACTCTTGCAAATCATCAAGCAGCATCACCAGGGCAAGCAAAAGGATGACCGAATTCTGGTCTTTTGCTTGTACAAGAAGGAGGCCACTCGTATCGAGGGCTTCCTTGGCCGTAAGGGCGTTCGCGTGGCTGGTATTCACGGAGATTTGAAGCAGGAGCAGCGAACCAGAAGCTTGGAGGCTTTCAAGTCTGGCAACACACCAGTTCTGGTTGCTACAGATGTGGCTGCTCGAGGATTGGATATTCCCGAGGTCAAGCTTGTCATCAATGTTACAGTAAGTTATGGGTCTAATGCAAAGATCTATAATGTTCTTCTCTAACTCACTCTCCACAGTTCCCTCTCACTATCGAGGATTACGTCCACCGTATTGGGCGAACTGGCCGAGCCGGCAAGACAGGCGAGGCCATTACCATGTTCACCATCCAAGACAAGGCGCACTCTGGATCGTAAGTAGTCAATTCAACCGCTGGTGCACTTTAAGAACAGAAAAAGCTAATGAGTCCGAAATAGTCTCATCAACATCCTCAAGGGTGCCAACCAGCCTGTCCCCGACGAGCTGATGAAGTTTGGCACTGTCGTCAAGAAGAAGACTCACGACATGTACGGCGGCTTCTTCAAGGACGTGGATCCGAACCAGAAGTCGACAAAAATTACTTTTGATTAGATTATAGCATGGGTATATCGGTAAAGGGAAAATGGGTCTTTTTTGTTTTACTCTCGTCTGTTTTTTTTTTTCGTCTTATTTCGTTACTACTCGCGCTTACTTGCTCTGCGACCTCGGATGGACTGAAAGCATTCGAAGAGAAACTTTCGCTCTAGAGATACACTACAGCACCAAAATGTTAGACGATTGTGTATATTAAAAGCAGATAGAGGCATAGCATGTAGAGATGTGTTGACATACATTAAAAGCAGTAATGGAATGGCAAAGCCAATAATCTTGATCAGGGTCTCAAGTGGCCGCTCTTGGCCAGCTTCGTGAAATTTCAGCTGCCGTAAGAGGACCAGCGTTGACAGCGATACGGCGATTGGAGTTGTGGGATATAGCGACGAGGGTGCAAAGTCTAGACCATGAGATTTAAAGAATTCGTTGATGAAAGCGCCGCTCCAGATGATTCGACAGAGCATGTTGATGCTGTTGGCGTAGACGAGGCCTATGGCACCAAGCGAAAGGACGCGCATAAAGAGGAAAGCTGAAGCGGCAAAGACGGCTGAGAAGATGCCCATCCAGAATGATTGGCGGTGCACCTGGGCCTCGGAGGCGACCGAGGCAACAAAAGCCTCTGTGATTCCATTGAGTCCCATGAAGGGGATGTAGAAACAGTAGGTGCTAAGAACTTGGCCAGCCCCTGATCCAGTCCAGAGTTTACCTGCTACGATGGATAGAAGCGCCGGAGCCGCAAAAGGTCCAATGCTGACAATGATGGCTGATAAAAGAATGTACAGACGCAAGATTGTGTGTAAGTTCTGTCTCGCCTCCTTGACTGACGAAGAGGGCTGCGACGAAGACTGGCCATTGCCAGCAGAGGGTGAAGATAAAAGGCGAGAAAAGTAGCTGCGGCTGCTCTCTTCGACGGGTTGGAAGAGAAGGCGGGCGAGAAGACTACCGTAGTTGTTTGCCAAAGCATACACGCCTTGGGCTTCAGGGTTAGAGAAGAGCGAAATGAGAAAGGTGTCGCCTTGTGTGAGAAGATGCTTCACCACACTTTGGGCCATCATGCTTCCCGCGAGATTGACTGTCGGCTTGTAGAAGTACGATAGCAGAAAAACGACATTCTGGTTGGAAGCCAGTTGCTTGGGCAGAAGTGAGAATCCAGTCTTGGCCGCAAGGCGGTATCCTGAGACAAAATATACGACAAGCAGGGAAACACCGTATGAGAGCTGGCCAAGAGCAAAGGGAAGAACGCCGATATCCCGACCACTTCGGGACGCCCAGACAGCGGATCCAAAGACTACAGCGCAGCGAAGGAACGTGGCGATAGACTCTGCAGTTGCACGAGTGCCAAACTGAAGACGCGTCTGCATCAGGACGAAACAAGGCTCGGACATGAGCTCAACCATGGCAGCAATTCCGTAGAGCCAGAGGGACTCAACTAGCCAGGGTGTCTGAAGCGTGTCGACAGAGGCAGATGCGAGATACATCCATCCTAAAGCGACGCTGACGATGCTGCCCAGCCCAACGGCGAGATACCCCAGGTTCACCACTGCTTGTCCCTCTTGCCGTGCAGCTGCAGCAGCATCATCTTCAGTCTCATCGTCCTTGGCGTTTGCTGCTCCAGCAATGCCCTGGCGCTGAATGGCTACACGCAAGCTCTCACGGGCGAAAAACAGAACCGAGAGATAGAATACTTCGAGCTGTGTAGAGAGGGCCAGAAGAGGAGCAGTGAGGAAACGAAGCAGCAGCTGGTTGGCGACGAAGGTGACGAGACGCGATGCGACTTGGAGGATGATGAGCAGGGAGGCGCCTTTGATGACGGACGGGCTAGACGTTTGAGGCTGAGCTGGAGGGCTGTTGGCGGTGTTGTTTTTGGTTTTGGGCTTGTCTATGGGGGGTTGAGCACCCTCGTCCTTTGGAGGCGCCATCATGAGCTCATGGATGCGTGATGTGAACTTGAAAGCGATGCTGATGCTGAGATCGAGACTGATACTAAATATCACACGTGGAGCTTTTGGAGGTTGAGCTGGCCCGTGCCTTGCGGGCTGCCGGCATTAGCGGTACGTTTAGTGGGTTTAGTGGGTGGGAGCTGAATTCTAGGGAGGGCGGCCACTGATGTACAGAGTTGATGGCTTCTACCCTGGATATCATGAGAACGGCGGGTAAATGAATGGGTTTGGATTGGAATAATGAAGGTTGTCTCATATAATTTTCCATATATAAGAAGAATTGATCATGATAGAGTATAGCGTATTTATATGTAAGAGATGGGTTTAATCAGATCAATCTATGCTGAAATGAACTTTCATTCGATTGCCAAGAGTCATTTCATTATCATTCAGTGGCTTTTTGAATAACAAGTTCCACGTCGCCATACAATTCTTTTAGTTCCAAACGTAGCAATGAAGCTAATTCCAACTTGAGGGCTCTAGAGCTCGTAACGATGGCAGCAATTGAGAACGGGATAAATCTATATATAGTACATAGGTATGTTCGCATGCCTAAAGTCATTGGATTGTATCGGCAAATCTCCACTGCTGCCCGCACTTAGCCCTTGTTGCTTTCGATATAGCCAATAAAGACTAGCAAATATTGCCAATGCGGCCTGGGATTTGGACTAATGAGAAGCTATTCGATCATTGTTACCTCAAATGGAAAGTTCATTCTGCTTTTCAGGCGCACATATAAGCCATAGTTCGGAATGCATGGCGTAGGCATGTGCCTACATGTATGTAAATGCGAGCTGCCAGGCCCGGGGATACAGCCAGGTTATCTGGGACATGGCAGTTATTTTACCGTGGTTACTACATAGAACAGTAGTCTACGAGTCAGTAACTCATAAATCTCACAATGGCGTTCAGTTATTATTCTACAACTGGCGCTTTTTATATCTCTAGGAGTGTCGGCTGAACAACAGTGCTTTCCGTGCAGGGTTTGTGTACGAGGATGAAAAGATCCTTTCGCCCTGATTGACCATCCTTGTCAAGTACTATATTGCTATGTATACAATTTTGACGTATGGGGTTATTGGCTACATTAAAAGCAACGCTATTTCGCTTGGCCATGCTCGCAACTTACATAAAGGCACACTCTATGGCCAGCCATTCGATCTCTTGCCGTTCGAAACTCAAACATGTAATTATAATACATAATGAACGAGACATTTTCAACACATTATACTCCTCAGCAATCTTCGGCGTTTGTCGACGATGACAGTCGCTGGGAAGCTGTGAAATCGCGCAACGTCAAGGCAGATGGTCTCTTTGTCTACGCTGTGCGAAGCACTGGCGTATATTCCCGCCCTACCTGCAAAGCGCGCCTCGCCCATCGATTCAATACCGCCTTCTTCAAAACAAGTATCGAAGCCCAAAGTGCAGGATACCGACCGTGTAAGCGCTGTCATCCTGAAAATAGTGCTCCTATGCCGGAAGATATCGGGATGGCCAAGATACGTGCATTCATGAAGACACGACCCCTTACGGCGATGATGGAGAAGGATGGGACAATCGCAATGCTGAGTCTAAGTCAGATGGCTCGGCAGGCTGGGCTATCAAAATGGCATTTTCACCGCGAGTTTAAAAAGTGTTTTGGAGTGACACCGGTCGAATATCTCAGGGTAGAGAAGAAAGCAGCGAGACTTGCGATTTCAGAAAAAGAGCAAGATGAGAGCCTGTTGCCTAGAGGGGGATCTCACATCAAAAAAGGTAGGCCGTGCTTCCTTTCCCTTTTTTGGGACTAAAAATCACTTTTGGTGGTTGGAGATTGTTTATTAGTGGCGCACATAGGAGCTGACAAGCCATAGAGCATTCAGATGAACTCGACACGACGGGAGAGTAAATATCTGTGTTCTAATCGGGTGCAGAAATTACTCTTCACGTTGAACGCGTAATCAGGAAGTGAATAGCCAAGATGACGCAATTGGAATGGACAAAACAGGAGTTTTTAATCACGAACCTATATATATAATTAAAGAAAGGCTTATAGACACGATTAAAGCCAACAAGATAGACGAGACATATAATTCTACTAATTAAGCATCTATTACGATATGAATTGCAGCGTCAATGCTGTATTCCCTTTTTTCTTTTGGCTCTGAGCATGATAACCGTTCTTCACACCAATCATCAAGGACGTTTTATGTAATTGATGAAAAAAAGCAATGGAGACGTCCAATGAGATGAAACCAGAGCGGCCAAGCCGCAGCGGAGACAACGCATTGCGAACATTTTCCCCGACTTTTAATATAGAAATAGTATTACAATATGTTGGGTTTTCTTTATCGAGCCGCAGGTAATTCAATTATCTAATGAAATAGCGATTTGGGCAATGAAATGTCGAGGCTCTTCCGAACAAACCCGCGGCATCCCGAAGTGCTACCCCGTCCGTTGTACATGTATAGACTTCAGACGCATACCCCGCAACTCGTTTTCGTTTGCTATTCCACAAATCTCCAATGAACAATAGAAAACCTTGAAAACTTCCAAGTTATGACGATTTGCGTGACTTTGGCCGCGGAAGCTCGTGAGGCGGTGTTTCTTCATCACATGTCGCGATGCTGCGAATATAAAAGGGCACGGAATGCCCTTTTATCGGTTTTTTTTTTCTTGCTCAAAAAACACTCAAGGCAATCATTTACAATCACCAATCTCGAAAACTATCTTATTATACATCTTGTAAAAGATTATACTCCATCAAGTAGCCATGGCTTCGGAATATACCATCAACGCTAGAAGTGCCGTTGCTGCTGTAGCTGCATCTGCTAAATCTTTCCGCATTTACTTCCAAGATACGCAGAATGGCATCCGCGAAGGAGTCTACAAAGATGGAGAGTGGAATGTTTCTGGCAAGGCCATCTTTTATGCCAGGCGACTCAGTCCTCTTTCCGCTGTTAGCTGGGACGGGGGAAGCCAGGTGAGATGAGACTCTGCCCTCCTACGCTATCTCAACCGTTGACAAATGGATGCAGATTCGAATCTACAGCATCTCTGAAAATGGGTTGCTTGAAGAGTGGTGCAACGGTAGTGGAGGGCAATGGGTTCCAGGCTATCTTACAAAGCTAAAGGTTCAAACGGCTCCAAACTCGTCTGTCGCTGCTGTCAACTGGGATGGACAGAATATTCGTGTGTACTGCCAAGGTAAGAATACAACAGATTGCTCAAAGTAAAAGGCAGAGTCCTCTCTAACATTGGAACAAAAGAATCCTCCAACACTATCCAAGAATACTGCGTCGGAGATCCTTGGAAGAAGGGTGCAACTCTTCCAGTCGCTGATGTAGGATCCAACCTTGCGGCTGTGTCGTGGACACAGAAGGGTAAACCACATCTACGAGTTTACTACCAAACTACAGATCTTTCCGTTCAGGAGCATTGCTATGACAATGGCTGGAGCAAGGGTAAGTTGAAGCACTGCATCGATTTCATGGTCGCATATTAACAGTAAGACATCTTAGGCGGCTTTAATCCTGGTGTCGCATTGAAGAACACTGCCATAGCTGCCACTGCGTGGAATGGCTCTGAGGTGCAGCTTCGTATCTATTTGCAAGATACCTATGGGCAATTGAGAGGTTACAAATGGTCTGGCTCGTGGGAGAAAACGGAGTTTAGTAGCCCTGTGCCAGTTGGTACCCACATGGTTGCGGTGAACTGGCACGATGGGCAGATTGTCAAAGTCTACTACCAGTCTGAGGATGGGACTATCTGGGAGGAGAGTGATGACGGTACGAAGAAACAGGTTGCGTAGATACTAGGTTCTAGTATCAATTAGCTCGCCTCATTTTAATCAGATAGCATAGCTATAAGAATGTACTACATCTCAGATCTCAGCGGCAATGGTATAGAGTTAGTCCATGGTTGTTTACTAATAAGCCATCTATATTCGCTTTCAAGCTTCAGAAGGAGACGAAGATCTGTCGATCGATCTCGTTTCTCCCTTTACAAACGGAAAATTTCAAGAGGTACCCTGTAATTACTGTCAGCGTTTTGCCGATCAACCGCTTCAAGTTCATTAAACACTAGTGGAGAAAGAAGCCGAAATACCATGCTGACAGAACATGGTAGGTGTCGGAGAATTTTGCGAGCCTCGGAAATGTCGGATCGAGATCACCTAATGCAGAAGGGATCACAACCATTCTAAAAACCAGAAAAGAAAAGTGATCATACAGACGAGTGCTCGGCTACCATCGCGAATTGCGTACCATATTTAGGCTCGTATAATATCAACGGTAACGTAATATTATGGGACACTTCAAATATGAGCTGAACCTCCCAGCCTACCGATATCACTCATACCCCTATCTTCATCAGCTCTATGAATTGTCATGACTCTTTCCCTCGGTAATCATCAAAGCACAAAAAGTTGAAGTGTGTTTCTCTATACTTCACCCGGCTACCAGTCATCTCAGCTCTTGAGAATCTTAAAGCCTACATCCACAAAGCCTACACCCCATATTTCCATGCACAGTAGGCAGCCTTACTCTTCTCTCCATTGCCTCCGTTGGTCGACGCGTGGCAACAGCTGAGATACAAAGCTGAGATTGGATCAGCTACTACTACTCAAGGCAGTCTTTCTCAAGGCCCACAATCTTACTCACAAAGACTAATCGTACGGCATGGCTAAGGATCTGACTCGCGTGTACGAATCAGTCTGCAGCTTATACTAGTTAAGCGTCTGTCGGCTACCACTCAAAACAAACCCGTCTTTTTTTGGCTACGATGTTTATTCTAGTGTTTTTTCACGAGGCTAAATTCGCTCTCCATCCCTATTCAACCCGAAGAGTCAGGGGTGATCTCCATGGAGAAAACGTGGCTGTCCCAAACGGTGATCCAACGGGAACGCTCCCGGAAGTTCTCTAGTCAACTTGTGGAGAGCTTGGAGAATAGCTAAATTAGCAAGCTTTACCTAGTTTTTGGTCGGATGGAGAGTGACCGGTCTGCCGGAACTGTGTCCTAGTATGCCGAGGACCGCCGCTTGTTAAGTGCGAGCGACCCAGTGTAAGATCAGAATTTTATACTGCTGCCTGTTGAGCGTACGGGGGCTGCGGGTAATGCTATTCCGGGGAATGGGGATGTGGCTGATCTAAGAAGCTTGGTTGGCTAGTTTGTTTGATGGAATCAGGCTTTTTTTGTATTGGAAGAGTCGAAGCATCAGACGAAATTTCAGTGATCCGCACCCTCGTCAGCCTTCATAGGTTAATGGCTGTCGCTGAGAAGAGGTGGGAAGTAGTGCAAAAGTAGTGCAAATCTAGTCCGACTAAAGAGAGCTGTTCCAAATTGACGGAACATTTTAGATTAGCTGTTGCCTTTAATGGCAAATCAGTAGATCAATAGATCAAAATTGCTGCTTGGAAGCATGTACAAGGTAACAGATGTGTTGTACTCCTCTTCAGGGGTGCAACAGAGATATTTTCGCTCGCTATACGTGTCATAGTGCTTTACTACGATAAATTACTGGCGTCCAGTTGCCACTTTTCATCTTCTAGGAAAGCCTTCAGACGGTCATCTAGCCACTTCAAGTCCTGTTTGCTCACGCCTGGACCGCCCGCCCTAAAACGACTCTCAATTAGTTTCTCTTGTGAATTTCATTCCGAGCTATTCGGTTCTCAAAAACGTACCAGTGACCCCAAATGGATGGGAATGGAATACACGCCCCAATACCTTTAGTCATGTTTTGTACCTCATATTCCGAATCCTCGGGAGGAAAGTATAGGTCAGTCTTGCCAGGTAGGACTAACGTTTTGGCCTTGATACTTCTCATGGCCAGCTCAAAGTCCTTATTATACGGTTCTTGATCTGAGCAATCTGCAGCTTGCCACGAATGAAGCATAGTAAGCAAGTTCTCAGGGTCTACATAGAAGTTAGTAAGTACAGCATTTCTAGCACAGCCATCAGACAAACTTTTGGAAAGAGCCCATGACTCCCAGAAATTGACCATAAAATCCTCAAGGTTCTTGTACCCCAATTCCGTCTCATACAAGGCAGAACGATAAAAGGCTTGACTAAATCCCCACCCTGCATATACTCGACCAAACGCCTTCAGCCCGGAAACTTTCTCTTCTTCAGTCCACACCCGGTACGTCTTAGCCAACTCACCAGCTGCGCTACCAGCCGATGAAGTCCCCTTAGCAGCAAGTAGTGCGCTCTTGACGCCTTCGAGAAAGACTTGGTTGTGCAGCGAAGTGCGAGCGCTTCCGCAGAAGGGAACGCCTAGATCCATAAAGTCGGGATATTGGGTCAGCCACTGGTAGGTCTGTCCAGCACCCATGCTCCAGCCCAAGACCATCCGTGCGTGCTGGATGCCTAGGCCCTCGGTTACAAGTCGGTATTGAGCTGTGACATTATCCTTCACAGTGATATTGGGAAACGGCTTGAGTGGGGACGCTCGAGGAATATTGGATGGACTACTGGACTGTCCATTCCCAAAAATGGCTGGGACGACGATGAAGTATCGACGGGGATCGAGTGCTTTGTCTTCGCCAATAAGCCATTCGTTGTCAGAGATTAGGCCGCTGAACCAAGAGGGGTAAATGATGGCAGGGGATGACGAATGGCCATAGGTCTTGTAGGCGATGAAGGCATTTGAAATGGTCTCGCCTGAGACGAGCTTGAAATCGCCCAGCTGAAAGGTCTTGTAGTCTAGTTCGCTACCCATGGTTGTTACTTCTAGCTGAGTCTGATATTGACAAATCTCAGGTATTGGTAGAGAACATCACGATGGAGCTGCGAGCAGATGCAGCTTTATTAGTTCGAATAGCGGCCGATGAATGCCGATTAAAGGCGCTGTGCATTCCGTTTCGTCATGATAAGACATCTTGACTGTGCATCGGGTCGGATAGTGAATGCTACCCCAATTGATAGAGTGAGGGGAAGCGCTTGAGGCGTTTGGACCGCACGTGATGCAGTGCGAGATGCATCTACTATCTGCTTGATAACAGCGCTATTAGTAAGTGATCTGCAACTCAATCGCTCTCGAATCTCAGGCCTTGATACAATAGACTGATAAAAGAAGTCGGCGATGATAACAACTGTGGTGGCATATACCGGTATCCTTCGATGGCTCTCCACATACATGCATGCAGATAGGCTCTACTTTGCCAGATAGCGGCTATGGTCTGAAACTCGAAGTTGATACTACTGACTCATTTGGTAGCCTTGATTGAATTTGATCTAGCGACTAATTTTGTCACTTTAAACCAAAGAATTCATTAACTTTCGAGACCTTTTGTTGACAGAATCTCTACGGCCAGTCAATGGTGATGATTCTCACTCAGCGTCAAAATTCCCGGTCGGTCCGTCCCGTCAGCAACCACTACAAGAATTCGACTGGCTTCAAGCGCTCACATCACATGAAGTGACCGATGTCCCGAGCCATAAGCTGACAGATTAAGTCTTTCTTACAGAGCTTATACCCCTATAACATTAGACTCTTCTCCATCCCAGAATCCAGCCTCTGCTCAATCTAGTGCTTCGTAGCGCGGGCCGAGTCGAGAGCCCGTGGCGGCGCCGCGCCTGATGGTGCTGACGATACAGGCCTCTTAGTGCCCAATGCAGCTTTCCTGCTGCTGCTACGCCGTAGTCGTACTGGTATTCCGCCTCTGCGGGTTGGTAGTGCCATCCTACGGCAATCTAGAAGGGCGGAATGGAACAATGAAACGTGGGATCCCTCGTCGATTTGCCTCTGCTCAAGACATTTGAACCCTGCTGAATAATGCTACTCAGGCAGGGGAGTTTCGGTGTTGTTGGCCGAGCAAGAAGACGCAAAAGAATGCGCGCATTAAGCAAGCCTGCTACTCCTACTCTGGGGTGACATGCGACGCCACACCACAGAATGGAAATGAATGTTTGAAACTGGCCATGGCAACAAGGTTGGACAAGTTTTGCTGTGAGTGTTTCGCTTTCGAGATGGTCGCCTCACCTCATAGTAGCCTCAAGCGTCTTAGTGCCAACTATGCGTTTATATCGAAGGTCTTTGTCCTAGAGGAGTGTCGAAGACTCAGCCTATGGACGATGGCTTGGGGGACGGGTTGGAGAAGAAAAAAGAGTGAGTGGGGTTAATATAATTTATACGGAGCCCTCCGCGTTGGATTCAGATGCTCGCAGACAGCGACGTGAATTGTGGTGTTGTCATTTCAATGTCCTCGGCATGGTGCTATTGGTGCAAATTGACTCCAAATGTTTACGTCGTATTTGTCGAGGCTTCCAATGATACCGTCATACTGCGTATCAAGAGGAGGGAGATCCAGAAAGGAGATGCAAACAAGCAATACACCGGCGTATGTGCTGCTGTTTCTCCGCAGTTCATGTCATCTGCAGGTCGTGTGAGTGGACCGCCGAGTAGCGGCCCTGGAGTTGATGAAGCGGGATGCAGCCAGAACCAGAAGTGGCCCGCATACTGGGGCGGATACACACCTCTTCCGTTTTTTTCTTTGAGCCGAATCCCAAGGGGCCAAGCTGCTGTAGGATTCCGAGGTGGGCACACCTTTATTAGGTGTTGAGTAGCCGTTTGATGAAGAGGAACTCGGGCTCGGCCAACGGGAGGGCACAAGGCTGTCATTGGCGAGTTCGATGAGAAACGAATTTCGAGACAATCTTACGCAGGCGTCTCTGGCACCTTGGCACGATGCTGTTGGCGGTGGCTGCGGAGCCCTGTCACCCACGATATATTGTCCAATTTCCTTGCCATGTGTACGAGATGCTGTGCACAGACGCCATGAGCTACTAATTTAGAGCAGAAATAGTCCATGAAGGTAGCTTTAATATACAAGAGCAGTAGTACGAGTACTTGTATGATAGTGGGAGGATACCCCCAGATATAGACCACGATGGTGATGGTGGCGATGCTCTGATGCACGGCGTAACGGGCAGGGGAGCTTGCATGGCAGGGCCTCTCTATCTGCTGCATCTGACAGTCAGCTTTTGACCGATCCATCACCATGGGATAATCTTCAACCGCTGAACTAGCCTCACTGTGGCCTAGCAAACTTGCTCTGTGCCATACCAGTACAATACCAGTAATCCTTGATCCGTAATCACTACTCGCGCAGCTCTACGAATCCAGTTCTGCATTCACACTTACACCACCAGCACAGAGCACTATTGGCTCTCTTATATCGGAGCAGCTAAAGGGGCGGGCTGGCGGGGAAGTCCCCTTTGGATGGAGTTTGATGGAGACAACCTGAGCTTTGGGGATGCGCCCCGGCCTCTGCAAAATGCAATGGAACACATACGAGCACTAGAGGCCAATTCCGCTACTAGCAGTAGGCCGAGGACAGAGGACATAGTGCTTCTTCTAGTGTGTTGTTAGTCCTGGCTCCCACGCAGGCCGTGATACCCACCTGCATGTGAAGCTGCCGCTAATACGCAAAACGCCACGTTCTGCTCCCGACAGCCACAGCACGGTAGATACGTAATAGTGCGGCCCGGTGTGAAATGAAGGGGATGCTGAGATTAAAGAAAATTTTTCTCTTGCCTTGCATTTGGGAATCCGAGGCGCGGTGGTCTGCGGATGTAGCCGGGCAGGAGTCTGGGCCAAGTCATTATACCAGTCCAGGTAGAACGTGCATCTAAGACAGCCGGCTGAAGATCCAATTGACCGGGCACATGTGAATACTACCCCGGTGCCATGTCTCTAGTGATGAGTAAAGTCGAAGCAGCCCATAGAATCCTTGCAATCCAGTACAGTGCATATAGAAGTAATGCTGTATACGAGTATCCGTACCTGGGCTCTTAATAGTCTGCGCGCCCGGACTGTTTAGAGCAGGTACTTTGCTGGGTGGCCTGACTCGAGATGCTTTGCTAGCGATCATTGGCGTCACGTTATCAAATTCTGCGATTCCTCAATACAGGGCTGACAACCGGTTACGCGCGGGCGACAGCGAGAAGAGCATGGATTCCCTTGACCCATGGCTGTCCTCGGCTGTCGTCCTTTCTGTCTCTCCGCTTCTGTCTGGAAATCACACATACTGTACATGTAAGGCACCAGTGAGCTATCGTTTCACCAGCCTTCTGTGACAGGATGGCTGCAAACACAACGGCTGTGTGGAGGACAAGGCCGGCACCAAGGAGGGCAGATCCGCGGTCGTCACATCCGCGATGCGCCAGTAGCAGCGCTTCTCGCTCCTAGGCCTTTTCACCCACCAGGGGCCGGTCTCTGAATAGCTGTCAGACAAGAAGATGAGCCGCTACCACTGGCTGTTCTACAGCCTTGCATCGCCACTCTTTGTACGAGCGTGATTTCATCCTCTTCCATGGCCCAGGCAACAAGTAAGCTAGGGCAGGGCGGCTGGAGAGCGAGACCCCGGAAAGCAGCTGATGGCCCATCCTGGTTGGCCGGCTGAATCGTCAACGCTGGACCGGTCCCTCCACGGAAGAGAGGCCACCCCACAAGCCGCCTGCTGGGCTCGCTGGTGCGGAGAGAACTTGGAAGTTGCTGCTCGGCCTGGCTGATTATTTGGAAGACATGTGTTTGATATTTCGTCCCATACTCGATAGAACGCCGCCGTCAATGCACGACTGCTGTCCGCGGCAGGCTTCCGTGGTGCCGGAATGGCCTGAGAATACTGCTAGTCCAGTTCCTGAAACGACAGCAGTTCGTGATGGACGCGTAGCCGAGAGTTTGCAACAGGAAAGCGACCTACAGCACACGCATGAACTACACGCTGAGCTCTGCATGTCTCACTCGCACACACACGTTTACTTGGTCACTGCAGGGCCCTCGCAAATAGGCACTGGCTGGACTTGGTTCCCTCATCGGGTAAAGAGGAACATGCCCAAAGAGCGAGCCCCGGGTGAACTGTGAACTGGCGCCAGGGGTCCCGCCAAAGAGCCTGCCTGCACCTATCAAAAACTTACGCAGCCCTTGTCTCCGGCCAATTGGGTTTTGGTCTGGCCTAGTGGCGTTGTGGCGTCTGGCCCAGCGAAATTGGGGCCCCGACTGGAGGGTCTGGAGGGTCTGGAGAGCAGCCATCGCCAAAATCACTTCCCCATACGGAGCTCACCACCAATCTTCATACATATTGGACATGGGGCCCCGTAGCGTCCCCATCAGGCCTCTCCATTTCCATCCAAGCACCACCAGCTCTCGTGTGCTATAGTCTGCTACCGACTCTTTCTTAGCGGAGGATGCGCTCTCGGTCCGGTTTTTTTCCCCAAGCTATCGGCTGTTCCAGTCCACGGCTGGCTTAGACACCATCCGTTGAAGCTTTTCTATTTTTCTCATTTATTTTCATTTGACAATCTCTTTCGACAGCAGCTATTGCTGCCACTTTACCCTTCACAACCAGTAAAGACGCCTTTTTGCCTCAGGAGCCTGTCCCTGCTGCCACTCGTTCTTTAGGAGCCACCCTCTTGGAAGCCACCCTGGTCGAGCTGCCAACACCGTCGCTTTTCCAGCCGAGAAATACACTCCCCTCTTTCTTCAGCTCCTACTGGAACCTGAGTCGTCAAGCGAGAGACTATTACTTGTCATTTCCTCCCCGTGAAATAGTCCAGCCACTTTTCGAAACCTTCATCTTTCGCCATCAGCCGTTTGTTCGACCCCGCGGGGAACACAAGACAACTCTCTTTTTCTTTTTGCTACACCACCTTCGGTCTGTTTATCCGCTATCAAGGTCCCACAGCCGAATTCACCCCCAGCCCAGCCAACAAACATGG